GTTTGATAAATTCTTTATAGATTTTGGACATTAACCTTTTATCTGAGATGTCATTTGCAAATATCTTTTCCCATTCCATCGGTTGCCTTTTAGTTTTGCTGATTGTTTCCTTCACTGGGCAGAAGCTTTTTATTTTGGTGAGGTCCCAATAGTTCATTTTTGCTTTTGTTTCCTTTGCCTCCAGAGACGGGTTGATTAAGAAGTTGCTGCAGCTGAGGTCAGAGAGGTTTTTGCCTGCTTTCTCCTCAAGGATTTTGATGGCTTCATGTCTTACATTTAGATCTTTCATCCATTTTGAGTCTGTTTTTGTGTCTGGTGTAAAAAGGTGGTCCGGCTCATTTTTGTGCACGTTGCTGTCCAGTTTTCCCAGCACCACTTGCTGAAGAGACTGTCTTTATTCTACTGGATATTCTTTCCTGCTTTGTCAAGGATTAGTTGTCCGTATGTTTGTGGGTCCATTTCTGGGTTCTCTGTTTGTTCATCGATGTGTCTGTGTTTGTGCCATTTAGCTCCTTTTTCTGGTAAAAGTCCATGGAATTGACAGTGGTGAAGTCCAGGAGAGTAGACTTCGGTAACTCATGGCAGATTCCAGTGTGACCCACAGAGCACCTCCTAATAACACAATAAATAGCCATGGCCCTTAAACACTTTACATTTTCACGTGCTTCGTGAGTTTTCTAGCTTAGCCTTTCTCAACTTTGAACATGCCTGTAGTGTGGATAATTGTGACACATCTGAACAATTCAACTTCAGGTTGTACAGAATTAGGTGTTTTCTCAACTTCTTTGAAAATATCCCAGCTGTAGTTGTTCCACAAAGATGACACATGGAGGCTGATTCCTACATCACTCCACACTCAGCACTGGCTCCTTGGATAAAATAACGTTAGCTCAGAAGTATCTGTAACATCACTGACCATCAAGAGCCCAAGAAAATCTCGTAAATCACGGGACTACGGTTGCTCCCACTGTCCTTGCTCAAGCAGCTGTTCTTTTTTTTTTTATAAATTTTTTTTTTTTAATGTTTTATTTATTTCTAGGAGAGAGAGAGACAGCGTGAGCAGGGGAGGGTCAGAGAGAGAGGGAGTCACAGACTGAAACAGGCTCCAGGCTCCGAGCTGGCAGTCAGCACAGAGCCCGACGCGGGGCTCGAACCCACGAACCGCGAGATCATGACCTAAGCGAAAGTCGGACGCTTAACCGACTAAGCCACCCAGGCGCCCCTCAAGCAGCTGTTCTTGACAGAAGGCTAACAGTCTTCAGCAGGTTTATTTCCTCTGGACACATAACTTTAGTTGCTTCAGTCGACATGATTTAATTACCTTATCGCCAGTAAACAGCCTTCCTTGCCTGGCTAACAAATGAGCCACCTGGAATCTTTCTTATTTTAAGAGTCTTTCTCATTTTGTGAAGTAATTCTGCTGTGATGAGATTTCCATTTCAGTGTCCATTTAAACCTTTTCTCCGTGTTGCTTAAGTTGGGATACTGTGATAAGCACTTGACCTATTGGTGCTCACTGGTGATCTTCACAGCAGGCAGGCAGATAACAGGCCGGCTCTTCTCTTGCTGTGGCCATAAGGGCTGTACTGGCGATAAACACATAATAGACGCTGCTCAGGACGGTGATGTGTGTGGCACTCAGTCCTGTGGAGTTACGGCTGCACCACTGCCCTTTGCGCCATGCCAAGCACTTGGAGCACCACTTCCAGCCTCTGTCGTGATGACTTGAGTCTGCTATTGTTGTGCAAAAGCGGCCACAGACAACATAGAAATGAGTGAGCGGGACTGTGTTCCAGTAACATTTTATTTATGGACACTGAAATTTGAATCTCTTCTAATTTTCACATTTTACTCAAAAAAAAAATTTAAATATAAAAGCCATTCTTGGGGCTCCTGGGTTGCTCAGTTGGTTAAGCATCCACCTTCGGCACAGGTCATGATCTCACAGTTTGTGGGTTCGAGCCCCATGTCAGGCTCTGCACTAACAGTGTAGAACCTGCTTGGGATTCTCTGTGTCTGTCTCTGTCTCTCTTTCTCTCTCCCCCTCCCTCTCTTTCTCTCAAAATAAATAAAATACACTTAAAAATTTTTAAATAAAATATAAAAGCCATTGTTAGCTCATAGGTTGTACAAAATAGACAGCAAGCTGGACTTGGCCCAGAGGCTGTAGTTTGCTGACCCCCAACCCAAAGCACATTTCAGGCTTTCCATGTGGCCAACCCAGAGGGCCCTGTGTCATCTGGCTCGAGCTCCCTTCTGTGCCCCCACTCACTGCTCATTGCACCTTAGCATAGAGGCTTCATTTCTGTCCTGGGAGGTACCACGCTCTTCCCCCTTGAGGCCCCTCTGCCTAGTCTCTTGTTTGCCGAGTTCATTGCCCAAACAGCCCCTCCCAGCGCCGGCTCCATGTCTGGGTCCTGCAGCTGTCTGAGGCTCTGGCTCATTCTGTGTTGGCCCCCACGCTGAGTGTGAGCTCTGGGGCAGCAGAAATGTGTCTGCCTCATCCACCTTGTGTCCCTGCCCCAGCCCAGGCCCAGCATGGAGTACGTCGGCAGCAGTCTGGAGGAGAGGTGACAGCCCTGGGCACCGGTGGCTGGAGTTAGAAATGCAAAGGAAAGTGTCAGGGTCCCTGAAGGCCCAGGGAATGGTGACACCATAGAATTCAAAAGGAGGAGGTCTGGTACCTCCAGGAGGTAAAGGTGGAAGACTGGTGTTGGAAAAACTGTGTCGGCTTCGGCTTTGAAGAAAGAACTGTGTGTAAACCTAGCCTGGGCACAAATGACAAAGCCACAATGAACACAGGAACATACAGGGTTGTAGCTGCAACTCTGGCCAATTACCAGGTGCTCCCAGCTCTGCAGGACCTCGGTCATCTTTTGGTGGCCATCCAGGAAGAGGAGAGATGTACCCACTGAGGTAGATAAACATATAGGCATCTTACAGATGTGTTTGTGCATCTCATTCTTCATGTTTGTAGCTTTTTGTTCTGTAGCATGATTACATGTTAGAAAATACCACCAGCATTAGCTATCCATTTATTCAACTTCTAAAATAACATTTTTATGGGCACCTGGGTAGCTGAGTCAGTTAAGTGTCTGACTTTGGCTCAGGTCCTGATCTCGCGGTTTGTGAGTTTGAGCCCTGCATTGGGCTCTGTGCTGACACCTTGGAGCCTGGAACCTGTTTTGGATTCTGCATCTCCCTTTCTCTCTACCCTTCCCCAGCATTAAAAAAAATAAAATAACATTTTTATTAGAGAAGCAATGCACATTAGTTGTAGAAAGTACATATAATTACATAGAAGAAAAATTGTAAAGCCCACTTAACGCTGTACTTTTCTGACATTTACCTTTGCAGTTTTGTTTTTTTAAGTTAGTTATTTTGAGAGAGAGAGTGTGTGTGTGTCTGTGTGTGAGTCAGGGAGAGTCAGAGAGAGAGAATCCCACAGAGGCTCAATGATGTCACTGCAGAACCTTACGGAGGGCTCCATCTCACAAGCCATGAGAACATGACCTGAGCTGAAATCCAGAGTCGGATGCTTAACCAACTGAGGCACCAGGTGCCCTGCTTTGCAGTTTTAAAAATATATAACATTTCCAAAATTGCATTCTGTTTCTCAGTATGAACAGTACTGAGCAAATATGAGTTCCCATTGCTAGACACATGATTTGTTCCCAGTGTACTGGCTAAGTATGAAATTTTTAATTCTTGTTTACTAAATTCTTATATATGTTTAGGTCAGTATTTGTACTTTCTGCTGCATTCCAGAATCTGTGTTGTTCTCTACCAGTGCAGTACTGGTTTAATTATTTATCTTTATAATCTCCTAATACACAGATACACGTCTCTCATATCATGCAATGTATACCTATCATACAACATTACACTCTCCCTAATACTTTTGGTAGTTTTTCCATTGATTCCTTTACTTTTTCTAAGTTCACAACTAATGACAATTTTATCTCTTTCAAATATTTAAATCTCTTCCTCTTTTTTTTTTTTTTCTTATTGCACTGACTAGCATTTCTAAAAGTATGACATACTGGTGATGAGAGTACATGTTCTCATTCTGACTTTAATGAGTATGCTTTCAGCCTTTTAGTACTAAATATTATGAAGGCCTTGAGTTAATATGGATATTTTTGATCAAGTTAAGTAAATTTTCTTTTACTTCTGTGTTACAGAGACTTTAAATCATAACTAGACATTAATTTGACCAACTTGTCTTTGAACGTCTCGCAGTATAATCACCCACTAATTTATTTCCCAGATAATGAGTGCCTGTTTTGCTCCACCTCCCCACTCTTAAGAAGCTTATTATCCCCATGAGGGTATTTCTAACCCTGCTTCCTTCTTAGGTCATCTGGTCAAAGCCTCACTAACCCCACCACTGTAGCCTTACAGTAGAAACCCCGGTTCCAAGTCATCTAAGCTCCTAAAATCCAAGATGGAGCAGCTGAAGTCTTATCTGTGCCCCAGCTTCTGGACGGGGCCACAGCAGAGCTGTCCCTGCTGGAGGGAAGGTGGGTCTCCAGTCCATTTTGTCCAGGCCATGTACAGTGAGGGGGCCTTAGGGTAGAGGAAATATCCATTTGACCCGGTGAAGGGGATGGCTTTGTGGGCTGGGCACTGGGGTATTCCTGAGAAACTAAAAGAATGACTCTTAACATTCTTAAAAGGGAAAGGTTTTTTTTTGTTTGTTTTGTTTTGTTTTAATGTTTATTTATTTTTGAGAGACAGAGAGAGACAGAGCATGAGCAGAGAACGGGCAGAAAGGGAGACACAGAATCTGAAGCAGGCTCCAGGCTCTGAGCTGGCAGCACAGAGCCCGATGTGGGGCTTGAACTCATGGACCACGAGATCATGACTCAAGCTGAAGTCGGAGGCTTAACCAACTGAGCCACCCAGGCACCCCTGAAAGGTTTATTATTTTAAATGTACCCTATTTTTAAATTATTGCACTTATGCTCATGTCTTTTTTTCATTTTGTTGTGTTTCAGTTCTTCACCACCGGGAGTGTTCCTTGAGAAGGACTATGAGATTTACCGGGATTATAATGTGGATGGACAACTACTACACTACAGGTAGAACCCACTGTCTCACACTTGACCCTGTCTCCTGACCCAAGGGTGGTTTTCCTGGCAGCTCTTAAGTGAGCTGGAGAAGAATCTGGCTCAACAAAAAGCAACGAGCTGGATGTATACAGCACGTGGGGCCCTGTACCAGCCAGAGGAACATGAGGAGAAGCTGTTGGGGCCTTTTGGAGTGGCCCCCAGGCTCATGTGGCAGCTTTCAGGAAGCTGGAAGAAGCTTGTCACTGCCCAGTTTGGAGAGCCATGGAGCCCATTGCTCTTAGCAGAGGAGTGACTCCCTGGGGGCCCCTGAGCATGTGCTCTCCCCCAGAGCCCCAGACCATGCATCTCACAGCGCTTCCCCAGGCCAAGTCAGGAAGATTAGGGTTAATCATAGAGAAGGAAGTGGACATTGATTGGTCTCTCTTGGTCGTGGGTTGGCCTTGCAGGGTATTGGAAGGTTCTAGAGATGACCCTTAGGACCCAAGGGCACAGCATCTGTCAGGCTGGGCAAGGGCCATCCTCGGCCAACTCATAGCTCCACGTGGGGTTCTGTACCTCTGGGCGGCCTAGATGCCCTCAGCACAGACCACCAGGAGTGATACCAGTGTTAGTGAGAAATTTGAAGACCTTAGAGGCCTTTGGTGGTTTGTTCAGACATTTTGAAAATCAGTCTTGGAAGTGCTATCTGGGTTTGTTGATAGGGCATGGAATCTGAGCCCGTGTGGGCTCACCAGCATGGGTGTGTGACCATGGGTGGGTTTATAGCCCACGTCCTCCTCAGGAAAGCAGGGTGCAGATGGCTGACTTGGTAGGCCCGCAGTGCACCTGTCAGGGCAGGTCCTCAGACTTGGTGCTTCCTATGCATCGAGCACTGTTCTAGTGGGCTGCCTGTCAAAGCCCCCCACACCCTACAGGGTATGTGTGCCTACCTGGGCTTTGGTGGCCCACTGCTGCCCTGGCCCAGCTGTCCTAGGTGCCACCTGAGCTGGGTACGGGTATACAACTGGGTATAACAGTTTGTAGTTTTAGGAATGGAGGCACTCACCCAGCCAGAATGAGAAGAATGGGAAACTAATGTTTATGGACAGACTGGGGAAGAGACCGCCTGCCCCACCGCACTGAGCAGGGTCTGTGAGCAGGAGAGAAAGCAGGACGGAGCCTCTCCGGGGTGGCGTGTGCTGCCCACCAAGCTTGTATGCTGGTCTGGGCTCTGAGCAGGGCAGGGACAAAGAGGGGATGCCTGGTAGGCCTTCAGCCTGGGCACAGAGGGGCACCTGAAGGGTTACGGGGCAGTTGGAGGGCTGTGTAGTTCAGGTTGCCTTTCAAACAGGACAGAATGGTTTCTTGTCTGCAGGGGCATGACCACGGCTCTGTGAGGCTCACTCACCAACTTTGGTGCAGAGCTGCAGGCATTTTGCACACGTGGTAGCCACTTCCTAAGGAGGTGGTAGCAGAGTAATTCCTGTGGCTTTGGTCTTGTGCCGCGCCCTCCTGTCTTCTGCACGGAGCTGTGGAGGACTGCCCTGGGCTGACTGGAGCCATCTCTTCCTGCTCCTGCCCTTCCAACACCTCTTTCCGCCCCGACTGCCTGCCTTCAGCATTTTCGGTGCCATGCAAGGGTATCCTCCTCCTCCTATGGTTTGAAAGCATCACTCAGCAGCCAGATCAAGTGATCGTCCCATTTCATCTAGAGACAGGTGGTGACTCTCCGCCTGGGTCCCCTGTCTCCACCCTAGCAAAGTTGATGGGATATTAGGGCACGGGTGAGGACAGTCTTCCTGGGTTTGGGAAGACATAAGGGATAGGTCTGAGGGCAGGCCAGGGAGGTTAGTCTGGGTAGAAAGGGTGTCCACAGTCCGTGGGGCCTTCTGGCCACTCAGTGGTGGGGGCAGAGAACATAAGTAGACAACAGGGCCTGGAAACTGGTTGTCGGGCTTCAGAGAGGGCTCCCAAACGAAGGACAGACCAGTCGGGGGACAGATGGGTAAGTGAGTGTGGGGCTATGAAAATGCTTGGCCCGAAGATGAGAGGTGAAGCTGCCTGCACAGTGAAGCCTGTTGGAGGTAGGCCCCTCGTGGCTGGTGGGCTACTACTGTCCATGACTGAGGGCCATCTCTGGGCCCTGGAGGCCCATTTTCCCAACTGTGACTTGGAGTCCATGACTCAGCTGCCTGCATGGGCCTCAGGCCTGCATTGACAGTCGAAGGAGAGACTTCAGTAGGGGTGCTCCACACATACATACGCTGCGGTGGTGGGCTCTGCCCTCAGCCCCGGGGGCATTGTCTGCATGGTAGAGGGCAAGGCCAGGGGTCTGCCTTTCTCCTGACTAGATAGAAATGCTCTTAGAGCCTGAAACAGATCTGTCCTTTGACCAGCAGACCTCTCATGTGTTCTTTCCTATAGCACAATCTTTTTTTTTTTTTAATTTTTTTTTAACGTTTATTTTTGAGAGAGAGAGAAACAGAATGTGAGCAGGGAAGGGGCAGAGAGAGAAGGAGACACACAATCTGAAGGAAGCTCCAGGCTCTAAGCTGTTAGCACAGAGCCTGACGCGGGGCTAGAACTCACAAACTGTGAGATCATGACCTGAGCTGAAGTCGGATGCTTAACCGACTGAGCCACCCAGGTGCCCCATCCTACAGCAGGATCTTGATGGCCCATGACTGACAGGCCACACCATGCCTCCTCGGGCCACAGCCCTCAGCACCCTTTTCCAGACAAGGATCTTTCTTAACCTTGTAGCCCCTGAGGGGAGCCCGGCACCAGGGATGGGTCACTACCTGCTAAGTGGTGAAAAAAAGTACAAAGATAATGCTTTACGCTCGCTGAGTGTTTCTTATATGTCAGTACTGAGCTAGGGGCTTTATCACATCCACATTATGTTACTTAATTCTCATAAGAACCAATGAGGACTCTGAGTCAGTGATGATAAGTGATGTTCCCAAGCCTCACAACCAGGGAGCAGCAGGCCCAAGTCTAGTCCCAGATCTCTGGATTCCAAAGCCAGCAACCAGGCGCAGAGTTCCCAGGAACGGGAGCCTGCATCCCGAGTCCTGCTACTGTGTGACTTCTCCTCGGGACAGTGACGCCGAGCTGCTGGGCATTACTGTCAACTGGTGGGGTCAGTTCCTAGCTCTGCTGAGTGGGCCGTGTACCTGGTACCTGCCTCCAGCTCACAGACCCTCACATTCTGTCACGTCACTGTCCCTCATTCTCCAAGACCTGCCTCACCCACCCCGTAACTGGTTGTCATGGTCTTGTCCAGAAAAGTCCAGCAGCAGTCAGAGGACAGAAGCAGAGGAGGCAAACCATACAGCTGGTTTAAGACACTTGGGAATTTCACTTTTGGAGCGGTAGATTAACTTCTCTGAGACCAGCCTGTACACAGAGAACAAAATAGAAAAAATTGCCCTAAAGTCTTCAGAGATTTACTAAGGCATGAGGACTTGAGGGCTGAGGAGGGATCAGTGCAACCCAGCACACATAAGGTACCGCCTCTCCCCCAGGACAGTTGAGAAGCCATGCCAACCTTTGAGTGGTCCATGGCTCCAAATGTCAGCATCAGAGTGCACAAAAAAGAGGCCTAGTTAACATTCCACGTGGACTCCTGAAAGGCTACCCCCAGGTAGACCAGCCCTCAAACCTAAACCTAAATTCCAGTCAGTTCTGTCCCACATGGGATTCAGGTTGTCTGCCCTTTCCCCAGCTGCTTGTCAGAAACAAAAATAAATCCAGAGCCTCAAATTATCTCTACAGTTTTTCATACATAGTCCCCAGGATATCAGTCTAAAATTGTCTATATAGAAAATTGTAAAGAATTAACCAAAAAACTCCTAGAATTGATAAGTGATTATGGCAAGTTTCCAGGATACAAAGTAAGTGTCCAAAAGTCAATTTCTTTCCTATATACTAGCAATGAATAAGTGGAATTTAAAATTAATACCATTTACATAAAAATGAAATGCATAGATGTAAATCTAACAAGATATGTACAAAATCTGTATGAGGAAAACTGCAAAATTCTAATGAAAGAAATAAAAAAAGAATTAAATGGAGAGATATACTATGTTAATGGACAGGAAGAGTCAATATTGTCAAAATGACAGTTCTTCCCAGCTTTATCTATAGATTCAGTGCAACCTTAATCAAAACTCCAGCCAGATATTTTGTGGATGTCAACAAATTGATTCTAAAACTTATGTGGAAAGGCAAAAGATCCAGAATACCCAACACAGCATTCAAATAGAACAAAGTTGGAGGACCAATACTATTTGATTTCAAGACTTACTATAAAGCTGTCCTAATGAAGACTGTGTGGTATTGGCAAAGAATAGACAAATAGGTCAGCATAACAAAATAGAGAGCCAAGAAATAAACCCACAAAAATATAGTCAGCTGATTTTGATAATGGGGAAAAGTCAATTCAGTGAAGCAAGTGTGGTCTTTCGACAAACGGAGCTAGAACAACTGAATGTCCACATATAAGAAAATGAATCTAGACACAGATTTTATACCCTGTACAAAAGTTAGCTCGAAATGGATCACACCACTAAATGTAAAACTCAGAACTTACTCATAGAAGATGACATAGGAGAAAACTTAGATGATTTTTGGTATGGTGGTGATTTTTAGATACAATATCAAAGGCACCATCCATGAAAGAAATAATTGATACACTGGACTTCATTAACATTAAAATTTTCTGCTCTGCAAAAGATAGTGTCAGAGAGTGAGAAGACAAGTCACAGCCTGGAACAATATTTGCAAAAGCTACCCATGATAAAGGACTGTTATTTAAAATACACAAATAACGGGGCGCCTGGGTGGCTTAGTCGGTTAAGCGTCCGACTTTCGCTTAGGTCATGATCTCGCGGTTCGTGGGTTCGAGCCCCGCGTCGGGCTCTGTGCTGACTGCCGGCTCAGAGCCTGGAGCCTGTTTCAATCTGTGACTCCCTCTCTCCCTGACCCTCCCCTGCTCACGCTGTCTCTCTCTCTCTCTCCTAGAAATAAATAAAACATTAAAAAAAAAAATTAAAATACACAAATAACTATTAAAACCCAACAGTAAGGAAATAAACAACCAGAATTTAAAATGGGCCAGTGGGGTGCCTGGGTGGCTCAGTCGGTTAAGCATCTGACTTTTGATTTCAGCTCAGATCACAATCCCGGGTTTGTGAGATTAAGCCCTTCATCGGACTCTGTGCTGACAATGTGGACCCTTCTTTGGATTCTCTCTCTCTCCCTTTCTCTGCCCCTCCCCTGCTTACACTTTTTTTCTCTCTCTCTCTCCCTCTCTCAAAAATAAATACTTAAAAAATAAATAAATTGGGCCAGAGGCCTTCACAAACACCTTATCAAAGAAGATAAACAGATGGCAGATAAGCATGGAAAAGATGCTCCACATCATATGTTATCTGGGAAATGCAAATTAAGACACCGAGCTCCACCCACACACCTGCTAGAAGGGCCCAAATCCAGAGCATCCAACAGCCCCAGATGCTGGTGAGGACGCGGGGCCACAGGGACGCTCATTCGTGGCTGGTGGAAAGTGGAACGTGGCAGCCACTTTGGAAGACAGTTTGGAGATTTCTTATAAAATTAAACATCTTCTGACCACCTAATCCTGGAGTCATGCTCCTTGCTGAAACCTAAAGGAGATGAAAACTTGTGTCCACATAACAACCTGCACACGGTGTTTATAGCAGCTTCATCCAGAGTCCCCCAAACCCAGGACAGCCCCGGTGTCCTTCAGCAGGTGAATCCGAGTCCCCCAAACCCGGGACAGCCCCGGTGTCCGTCAGCGGGTGAGCCGGAGTCCCCCAGACCCGGGACAGCCCCGGTGTCTGTCAGCAGGTGAGCGGATAAACAACCTGTGGTCCATGTGGACCACGGGATGCTAGTCGGCACTAAGTAGAAATGGGCTGTCGAGCCAGGAAGAGGCAGGAGGGACCCTCGATGCGTGTTCCGAGGTAACAGTAGCCAGTCTGAGAAGGCTACACACGGCATGACACCAAGTCTGCGACATTCTGGAAAAGGCAAAACCGTGGAGACGGTAAAAGATGAGAGGGGGCCAGGGGCTGGGGGGACGGGAGGGACGGTCAGCACAGATTCGGGGCAGTGAAACTGCTCCGTGTGACACTCTGACAGTGGGCACACGTCCTTACACACCTGTCCGAACCCACAGCACGCACGGGCCGAGAGTGAGCCCTGAGGGAAACTGTGGATGCCGGGTGCTGCTGAGGCGTCCCGATCAAGTATCCACGTACGTTCACCGACTGGGACACGGGTACCACTCTGCCGGCGATGTTGACAACTGGGGCGATGGTACACGAGTGGGGGCAGGGGTGCACGTGAGGTCTCTGTGCTGCCCCTCAGTGTTGCTGTGAACCTGAAAGTGCTTTAGAAAGCAGTTTTTTGGTCAGTGCCTAGGTGCCGAATGTTGTGTGTGAGGGCAGATTCAAAGGAGGGGAATGTGGTTGAAAAACAGGACCTGAGATGCTAGGGGGTGATAGGTGGCCCATCACCCCCTAGGAGCACAAGCAGGTGCTGAACCCAGGAGTGAGGCCTACAGAGAAATAACCGTATTGAATCCAGAGTTAGACCTCTGGGAGCCACCCTGGCTGTCTCTTGTAGAAATAGCTCTGTGCCCGGTGCTTGGGTGGGACCAGGGCAGAGACACACACACAGAGGCCCTTGTAGGGAGTGTCATGATGGGCACCAGAGGTGGGGCTGGCCTGGGGGAAGCTGTCTGGACGGGAGAGCCCTCTGGAGGGGAAGGCTGCAGGGCTGTATCAGGAGCTATTTGCGGGGCGCTCCTAGGACAGGAGGGCAGCCACTCTAGGCTGCACTGCCTAGGGATCAGGGCCCCAGCAAGGAAGGGTGCACAGGTCTTTTACAAGGAGACCCCCCCCCCACCAGCAAGTGTCAGGCCCCTGAAGCCTGCAGCTCCCATTTGAGAGGTGAGGAGGACACTGAGAAATGACCAGGCCTCTTGGGTCCTGACCCCAGATATCCATGAGGCCCAGACCAGTAGGTTGTGGGTTCAGGCTGATAGCTGGGCTAGGTTTCCACCTCTCCCCGACAGGTAACCTGGGCCTGTCCCCCCCAGAGCCTCCCCCACATAACCTGTGTCTCACCCCCCCACACCCAGAACCTCCCCCAGGTAACCTGTGCCTGTTCCCCCATCCAGGACCTCCTCACTTCGGTGGAACTCGGGCACCAAGGAGCGCATGCTCATCAAAGTTGCTGACCGGGAGCCCAGCTTCCTCTCCTCCCAGGGCAATGGCTATGCCCTAGACACACAGTCTGGCAGCCGCTCCCGCAGACCATCTGGCGGACAGCACTCGCCCGGCCTGCAGACGTTCGCCCCAGACTCTGATGGCCCCGTCTTCTTCCCTGAACGGAGGCCATCACCCTTCCTGAAGAGGGCCGAGCTGGGGAGCTGCTCCCCGCTGCTGGCCCAGCCACGCAAGCCTACCAGCGACTCACAGCCCTCCTCCCCTCGCTATGCCTATGAGCCCCCCCTCTACGAGGAGCCCCCTGTGGAGTACCAGGCTCCTATCTATGACGAGCCGCCCATGGACGTCCAGTACGAGGCTGGCGGGGGCTACCAGGCCGGCTCACCCCAGAGGTCTCCAGGCCGCAAGCCAGCACCCTTCCCACAGTCACCCAAGCAGGGCTCCACCTCGCCCTACCAGCAGCTGGTGCTGACCCGGCAGAAGTGCCCCGAGCGTTTCTTGAGCCTGGAGTACAGCCCTGCAGGCAAGGAGTACGTACGGCAGCTGGTGTACGTGGAGCAGGCCAGCTCAAGTCCCAAGCTGCGTGCAGGCCCGAGGAACAAGTGTGCACCCAACCCTGGGGGTGGCTCCCTGCCCCTGCAGCCCAGCCCCTGCCTGCTGCGGGATCAACGCCTGGGGGTCTCCTCTGGGGACTACAGCAGCATGGAGGGTCCAGAGCTACGGCACGCCCAGCCACCCATGCAGCTGCCCCAGGCCCAAGATGATGCTATGTCCTGGTCCAGCCAGCAGGACACCATGTCCTCGACAGGCTATTCCCCGGGCACCCGCAAGAGGAAGAGCAGGAACCCCTCTCTGTGCCATGTCCCCAGCGCCTCATCCACTGAAGGCCCAGGGGACCGTGACCTCCTCACTGAGCAGCCCCCAGCTGAGGAGCGGCCCCTGTGTGGGCCCAGCCTGGCCCCAGTGAAACGTGCAGAGGGCAAGACTGGCGAGGCTGAGCCCTTTCTGGCGCAGGCACGGCTGGCCTGGGAGGCGCAGCAGGCCCACTTTCACCTGAAGCAGAGGGGCAGCTGGGACTCCCAGCAGGACGGCTCAGGCTACGAGAGTGACGGGGCGGTGCCTCTGCCCCTGCCCGGGCCCGTGGTGCGCGCCTTCAGTGAGGACGAGGCTCTGGCCCAGCAGGAGGGCAAGCACTGGCAGAGGGGCGCCTTGGAGAGGCTCGCTTTCCCCCAGATCCTGCTGGAGAAGAGCATCTCTGTGCAGACCAACCTGGCGTCACCAGAGCCCTACCTTCACCCCTCACAGGTAGGGAGGTGTGGCCGGGGTCCCCGGGCAGAGGGGGGGCAGGTGGCAGTCCCCAGACAAGCTGCGGCACGCGGTTCCTGACAGCATGGGGACGGGCAGTGCGGCTGCATCGCCTCTGCTGCTGCTGAGGCCTGGCAAGACGCTGTCAAGTCAGCTGGAGGTCAGAGGCCACGCTCCGACTCCGTCCAGGCCAGGAGTGCAGGGAAGGCAGGGGGACAGCTGCCCAAACACTGAGCCCCTGAGCCTCTGTCCTCCCGCTTGTGAAGGGCTCTCAGGTGAGGGGCTGTGCAGGTGGAGAGTCAGGTGCCCTTGCTCAGAGCTCTTCCCCAGTGAGGAGGAAAGGCCAGGTACCTGGTCCAGAGGCCTGGCCTGGCTTGTCCTCCCCTGCTCAGCGCCAGATGCCGGTGTCAGGCCCTCTGAGCCCACGTGTATCTTCCGTCTAGGTCATGTGCTGGAGCTTGATGTTCCAGAATTCTGTGTGGGCCAGTGTCTTAATTCTCACCTCCTCACCGCTGGTATTTCCCACCAGTCTGCTGTATGAAGCCAAGGCTGAGGGTCTGCCTTGACATCTGCCAGAGCCGGCAATGGCCAGAGGGCCTCCCGGTATTGGGCTCCCCACTTCCACCCCCAACCCTGCCAGGGAAGAATGCCTTGGGATACCAGCAGGGCTGCCTTAGTGCCCCTCCAGGCTCGAGAGCTCAGAGCAGCATTTCTGCCTGAGCTGAGAAAAGAAAGGGTGTTACCCCAGTGACACCTCTTACACTTGTGCTGAGGCCATTAGGGAGGCAGGGAGGGGGCTTGGGCAAACCCTCCCTCCCCAGCATCATGGGGACCAGGCCTCCAGTGCAGGCTCCCTTATAGGCCACCCTGCCACTGCACAGCCTCACTCTGCCCATGATCCCATGCAGGGATCTTCGTCGGAAGGGTAAGGCTCTGATGGGGAGGGGCAGGCAGTGTCAGGGACCAACAGTGACATTTATATGTCTCTGTGGAACTTTGCATCTGGGCGTTTCCACATCTTGGCAGGGTTGCCCTTGTCATCTGCTTCTCAACTTAAGAGCCCAGAGAACTAGTAGAAGCCAAACAGCAGTGGCAAGGCCAGCAGGAGGCAGCACCCTTCCACCACCACTGGGGGCAGCATTCCCCAGCTTCTTCCCACCTGGGGCCACAGTCAGCCCAGAAAGCCAAGGAAACACACGTATGGCTTCCTCCCGTCCCCAGATGTGCACTGGACACGACCCCCCAACAACAACCCTTAGTTGCAAGAGTAGGGAACACTTCCCAGAGGCCAAGCCCCTGGGGTAAAGGTTGGAAGAAGGGCCTCTCTGGGTCCCCTCCCCAGCCGTGTGTTTATGAGGTGGGTAGAACAAAATGAGGCACAAGCTCCTCCAGCAGCCTCATGTCCCTCTGCCCTTCCTAGTCCGAGGACCTCGGTTCCTGTGCCCAGTTTGAGAGTAGCCGCCAGGCCCGCAGCGTGATGCCCAGCGCTAGCTGCGTGTTCCCCACCTTCACACTGCGCAAGCCGTCCTCGGAAACTGACATCGAGAACTGGGCCTCCAAGCACTTCAACACACATACCCAGGGCCTCTTCCGGCGGAAGGTGTCCATTGCCAACATGCTGGCCTGGAGTAGTGAGTCCATCAAGAAGCCCATGATTGTGACCAGCGACCGCCACGTGAAGAAGGAGGCTTGTGAGATCTTCAAACTGATCCAGATGTATATGGGTGACCGGCGCGCCAAGGCAGACCCGCTACATGTGGCCCTGGAAATAGCCACCAAGGGCTGGAGCGTGCAAGGCCTGCGGGATGAGCTCTATATCCAGCTGTGCCGGCAGACCACTGAGAACTTCCGCCTCGAGAGCCTGGCTCGCGGCTGGGAGCTCATGGCCATCTGCTTGGCCTTCTTCCCACCCACACCCAAGTTCCACTCCTACCTGGAGGGCTACATTTACCGGCACATGGACCCCGTCAATGACACCAAAGGTAAGACTCAGTGCGCAAGACTCCTTCCCCCACTCCCCAAGCTCTGCCACCGGCTCAGGTAATGGCTGTGGCAAGCACTTCCTGGTCTGCACTGGCAGCAGGTATGTGGAGACAGGCACAGCACCTCCAAGCAGACACACGTGTCCTCTGGGGGTCATGTCCTAGGTTTCCACTGGGATGTGGCATCCTTGGGGAGCCCCTCCTTGGTACTGAAGCCCTGAGAAGAATCACAGGCAATCCTGGAACAGGGTTCCCAGCCACAGGCCAATAGGTCAGAGAGGAGGAGGCTGGATGAGCACTGGCATCCATGTCTCAGCCAGCGGGCATCCGCTCTGCTGAGGCTTCCATAGCTGGTCACTCTGTTTGATGGGAGAACCATCAGTTGGTCCTATGTGTTTACTATGTTTGCTTTCATCCATGCTGTGGCCTGGAGGGATCACCACCCCAGCAGATTTGGGCGTCTGTTGTGGGTGGGAAGAGACTGGAGGGTCCTGGAGCATGGTCGCTCTAGCTCCTGAGAGTAGGGAGGAACATGGTGCCCCAGGCCTGTACTGGCTCAGCTCCAGGCCATCAGGGTACTATGAGCTAACTCGGCCCTGACCCACCCCAAAGAATCAAAGTTCAACCAGCATGGGCAGCCACGTGCTGATGACTGCCTGGGGCCACGTGTGGGGCCACATTCTGCCAAGGGATCCCAAAAGCCATGCATTAGGTTTGTCTGGTCCCAGGCCTGGCCTGCTTGGGAGAGAATTCAGGGTCCTGCCAGCCAGATGATGCCAGTGCAGTTGGTGTAAGTCCTAGGTCAGGCAGAGAGAGCATGCGGGCAGGGCCATAGGCAACAGCTGCACCTGCAGCAAGCTAGCTACCACCCAGACTGTCATGAGTATCCACAAGGCATGGCCCGGAGCTAGCCCATGACACCCATGTGGACATACATGCACACACATGCACTTTCTAGGTCAGATGCCATGGGTTGCTCTTTGGGAGTGACTGTCTACCTTGATCTGGCCAGGGCCTTGCCCCAGCCCGGGCGTGGGGGGCCAGGATGTATGCACGTAGTGGTGGGGGCTGTGGCTGCCAGGGCAGTTGTGGGTCTTAGGGAAGGTGGGTCGAACATAGGCACCATTCAGCACATCAGCCATTTGGCGGCAGATGTTAGAAGCCATGAGATTTTCACTGAAGCATGCAGCTTTAGAAGCAGGGTCACTGAACACAGCAGATGGTCCTGCCCAGGTAGCTCCCCCAACATGCAGAACATGCAGCCTGGTAGGCGGCCTGGGGTGACCTGTGTCTGTCAGTCTTCTCTCGCCTTTCTAGGACCACCTTTCTAGGTGGGCCCCCATTAGCTTTGTGGTTCTCTTCAGCCTATTCCACAGAGGCTTTAAAGGATGTGTCCACTGTTCAACACACTGTTCCTCGGGGCCCAGGAAGGGCTTGCTAAGCGAAAAGGTGAGTGAGCAGTGAACAGACAGAGGCCAGAGGCTCCTGGGGCCACTCCAGCCAGCTAGCTGGGGCTCCTGTGTGGAGCTTGAGCTCTGGGCCCCATGCTGGGCCCACGGGGCCCTCATCCTGTCAGAGGTTTGTGGGCCTTCATCCTAGTGTCTGCACCATGGGGACAGGGCCGGAGTATATGAGGAAATTGGTGGTCAGCCTGGACACCCATGACTTTGACTTTGAACATCCACCCACACTGAGGGAGGCCCAGGTGGTCTCAGAGTGCCATATGGTCTCGGCCCACAGAGGGAGATTGGGTCCCACCAACAGGAGGGACCTTCTGGGCTGTGGGATCTGAACTCATGTGTGACTCAGGGCTGCCGTCCAGCCAGAAACCAGCCCCAGGACCATTCCTAGGTAAGCATCTGCTACGCGCTCTGCTCGGTGCTGAACCAGAGGAGAGGACGTGTACTCCCTCCCCGCTGGCTGCTGCTCAGGAAGGCAGGCACTGTCAGCCAAAGAGGATGCAGCCTGTGCTTTGAGAAAGGAAACTGCAGCCTGTCTTGGGGTCACTGGCAAGGGCAGAACTGAGCCTGGCTCCTGAGTGGTGCTGCACCCTGAACTGTGTTGCCCACCTAGGCCTCAGAAATCTTTGCTTTAATCTGCCAGCACCCATGTGACACCTATGTAGTCACACTGCGAGAGACCAAGGCACCAATGCAGTGAACCCCAGCCCGCATGTCTGCTGACCCCCAGCTTAGCCTTGTCTCCTATGTGGTTGTACCTTTGTGCCGGCCACCAGCAGAGTGCTTTCACCACTCGTCTCCTCAGGGCCTGCCTTGCAGATCTCTCAGCAGATATCACTGATTGCCGCTCTCCCACGTGCTCCACACAGTAGCACCGTGGCGGGGTGCAGACCCTAAGGAGTTTCCTTTACTGTTCATGCACTGAGTAGGACTTAGGGCCTCCAGGTAAAGGTATCAGATTTAACACTTACATTGACTCGGACTCCATCTTCAAGTCCTGCTAAATGAACAGGGAAGGACTTTTTTTAATGGAGGAAAAAAAATTTTCAAGAGAATGTAAAATGTAACAGCCACTGTAGAAAACAGTGTGGCAGTTCCACGAAAATTAAAAATAGAATTACCATAGGATCCATTGATTCCATTTCTGGGTATATACCACAAAGAACTGAAAGCAGAGACATGAACAGACACATACTTGTACATTCAGGTTCATGGCAGTCTATTCACAACAGCCAAGAAGTGGAAACAGCTCAAGTGTTCATCAGTGGATTAATAGATAAGATGTGGTCCATCCATAAAATGCTATATTATTCAGTCTTAAAAAAAGGGGGGGGGGGATTCTGACACATGTACAACATGGATGAAACTTGAGAACAATATACTCTGTGAAATAAGCCAATTCAAAAAAAGATACTGTATGAGTCAACTCAAGAGGTCCCTAGAATATTCAGATTCATAGAAGCAAAGAATGGTGGGTGCCAGGGGCTGGGGGAAGGACAGGTGGAGACTTGTTTAATGCCTACAGAGTTTCCATTTTGAACAGATGAAAAAGTTCTGGAGATGGATGGTGGTGATGGATGTACAACAGTAATATGCACTTAATGCCACTGAACTACACAATTAAAAATGGCTATAATGGTAAATTTTATCTTATGCATATTTCACTGCAATAAAAATAATAAAGCCCACAAGGACAAAGAGCATGAACACTATGTTTTAGAAGCTGAAAAGTACATGAACAAGTGGCAGTAAGCTGACTTGGAAAACCAAGAAATGTGGATCCCAGTCAGACAGTGACAAAGCTAAGAAGCCCAGGCTGGTAGCAAACACTTAAAAGCTCCGCAGTGGATGGAGCCAGCTTCCGGTTTGGAAAAGGCATGGCCTTAAAGCTGAAAACAAAAGGACTAGTTGAAAGTCTGTTTAAGAAATGAAGTAGCTACCATAGGGGTGCCTGGGTGGCTCAGTTGATTAACCCTTTGACTTTGTCTTGGGTCATGATCACACAGTTCATGAGTTCGAGCCCCAGAATGTCCAGGCCTCTGCTGTCAGGCCCTTGGATCCTCTGTCTCCTTCTCTCGCTGCTTCTCCCCAGCTCGTGCATGTGCTCTCTCACAAAAATTTTAAAAAAAAATTTATTTTTAAAGAAAGCAGCTACCATTAGAATAGGTAAGAGCATAGATTTTGGACCCAGAGCATTTGGACTCAAATCCCAGCCACATTTTCAAGATAGGCCATATTCTGAGCTATAAAATAAGTCTCAATAAAAGCTAAAGAAGGTTAATCATATAAGTTGTTCTCTAGTCACAACACAATTAAATTAGCAGTCACTAACACTAAGATATTTGGAAAATCCCTAAATATCTGCAAATTAAAGAGTATATTACTAAACAGCCCAATGGTGAAATAAAAACCTAAGGTGGGCTGGCGCCAGGGTGGCTCAATTGGTTGAGCATCTGACTTTGACTCAGGTCATGATCTCACCGTCTGTGAGTTTGAGCCCTGCGTCAGGCTCTGTGCTTACAGCTCAGAGCCTGGAGTCTGCTTCAAATTCTGTGTCTCCCTTTCTCTCTACCCCTCCCCCACTCAGAGTCTGTCTGTCTCTCAAAAATAAATAAACATTAAAAAAATAAAAAAACCTAAATGGAAATTAGGACGTATTTTGAACTGAAAGAAAATTAAAACAAAACATATATTAATTGTGGGATGCAGCCACAGCCTTTCTTAGAGGGAGATTCATAGCACCGAAATACCTGTATTCTAAAATATCTCAAATCAGGGGCGCCTGGGTGGCTTATTCGGTTAAGCGTCCGACTTTCGCTTAGGTCATGATCTCGCGGTTCATGGGTTCGAGCCCCGCGTCGGGCTCTGTGCTCAGAGCCGGGAGCCTGTTTCAGTCTGTGACTCCCTCTCTCTCTGACCCTCCCCTGCTCACGCTGTCTCTCTCTCTCTCTCTCCTAGAAATAAATAAAACATTAAAAAAATAATAATAAAATAAAATCTCAGATCAGTGACCTCAGTTTCTAGTTTAATTTTTTTTTTTTTTTTAATTAAAAACTCAGGGCTTGAACTCACAGACAGCAAGGTCATGACCTGAGCCAAAGTTGGATGCTTAACTGACTAAGCCACCCAGGTACCCCTCGGTTTCTACTTTAAGAAACTTAAAAAATAAATAAGTTATACCAAGAGCAAGCAGAAGAAAGAAAATAATGAAGATCAAAGTAGAAATCAATAAAAGTGAAAACAGAAAAACAATGCAGAAAGTCAGTGAAACAAAAAAGGTAATTCTTTGAGACGATTGATATTGATTTATTTATTTATTATTTATTTCTGAGAGAGAGAGACAGCGTGAGCAAGGGAAGGTCAGAGAGGTAGATACAGAATCTGAAGCAGACTCCAGGCTCTGAGCTAGCCTTAAGCACAGAGCCCAACACGGGGTTCAAACCCATGAACCGTGAGATCATGACCTGAGCCGAAGTCAGACACTCAACCAACTGAGTCACCCAGGTGTCCCGAGAAGATTGATAAAATTGATAAATCTCTAGCCAGACTAATCAGGACAAAAAGAAGACATAAGTTACCAATCTCAAGGATGAGAGATGGTATCACTACAGACTTAACATGTAAAAGGATAAGGAAATATTATGAACAACTTTATGCAGTAAATTTGACAGTAAAAAGGATATGGACAGGGGCACCACTGTGCGGCTCAGTGGGTTAAGCATCTGACTTTGGCTCAAGTCATGATATCACAGTTCAGTTCGTGGGTTCAAGCCCCACGATTGGGCTCTGTGCTGACAGCTCTGAGCCTGGAGCCTCCTTAGATTCTGTTTTCCCCCCCTCTGCCCCTCCTCCCCCCCCCTCTCAAAAATAAACATTAAAAATGTTTTTTAGGGGCGCCTGGGTGGTTTAGTTGGTTAAGCGTCCGACTTTCGCTTAGGTCATGATCTCACGGTTCGTGGGTCCGAGCCCCGCGTCGGGCCTTGTGCTGACTGCCAGCTCAGAGCCTGGAGCCTGTTTCAGTCTGTGACTCCCTCTCTCTCTAACCCTCCCCTGTTCACGCTGTCTCTCTCTCTGTCTCTCTCCTAGAAATAAATAAAAAAAAAACATTTTTAAAAAATGTTTTTTAAAAAGAGGAAATGGGCAGATGTCCTGAAAGACACAAACTACCAAAGATCACTTAATAAGCAACAGACCGAAAAGAAAAAAAAAAATCCTATATCTATTAAGGAAATTGAATTGTTACTTAAAACCTTCCCACAAAGAAAAAAAAATGTTTAAAAAAAAAAGGGGGGGGCGCCTGGGTGGCTCAGTCAGTTAAGCGTCCGACTTTCGCTTAGGTCATGATCTCGCGGTTCGTGGGTTCGAGCCCCGCGTCGGGCTCTGTGCTGACTGCCAGCTCAGAGCCTGGAGCCTGTTTCAAAGTCTGTGTCTCCCTCTCTCTCTGACCCTCCCCTGCTCACGCTGTCTCTCTCCTAGAAATAAATAAAAATATTAAAAAAAAAATGTTTAAAAAAAAAACACAAAACCTTCCCACAAAGAAAAAGTCCCAAATGGCTTCCCTGATAAATTCTACCAAACATTCCATTGTTTGTGTAGCAATTTGTTACAAACCTATTGAGAAGACTGAAGTGGAGGGACCATCTCCTAGTTCATTCTATACCAAAATTATAAAAGGACATTACAAAAAAAGAAAAGCACAGACTGTAGTCCTCCTAAACACAGAACAGAAATGAATGATATTACCAAAGTCAATCCAACAATATATAAAAAGGATAATGCATCTTGAATAAACAGGGTTTATCTGAAAAATGAAAGGTTGGTTTAACGTTAAAATTCCATGTAATTTGCCATAGCAACAGAGTGAAAAAGAAAGACCATGTGATCATCCCAGTAAATGCAGAAAAAGCATTTGGCAAAATCCAACATTTCCATTCCTGATATAAAATCTAAATAAAATAGGAACAGAAGGGAACCTGACAAAAGGCAAGTATTTTTTAAAACCCTTCAGTACCCAAAGAATGGAAAGTAAGTAGTCAAACAGATACCTGAACACCAATATTCATAGCAGCATTATTCATAATAGCCAAAAAGTGGAGACAACCCAGGTGTCCAGCAGGTGAATGGATAAGCAAAATGTGGTCTATTCAATACAACGGAGTATTTTTCAGCCATAAAAAGGAATGAAGCTCCATTACGTGCTACAACATGGAGGAACCTTGAAAAATTCTTCTAAGTGAAAGGAGCCAGATACGAAACAGCAAATACTGTATAATTCAACCTATATGAAATATCTAAAGAAATTCATAGAGATAGAAAGTATATTTGAGGTTACCAGGAGCTGGGGGAGCATAAATGAGTTTTTGTTTAATTAATGTACAAGGTTTCTGTTTTTGGTGATATAAGGATTTTAGGAATAAATGTGATGGTTGCATGAAATTGTGAATGGACTTAATACCACTAAATTGTACACTTAAAAATGGGTCTATGGCTACATTTTTATGGCTCTCTTTTACCACAATTAAACAAGAAACACCTCTAGCCAGCACCACATGTAATGGTAAAAGACTGAATTCTTTCCCTGCAAGATCAAGAACAAGGCAAGAACCTCCAACCCAGTGCACCTACTGTGTATCATGCTGGAGACCTAGCCAGTGCAGTCATGGAAAAGAAGTAAAAGGCATCCAGATTGAAAAGGAAGTGTGCAGTTTTCTTTAATCACATACAACACAATCTTCTATGGGATCTATAAAAATACTACAATAAGTGAGTTTAGCAAGGTTGCAGGACATAAGACCAATATATAAAAATTAATCATGATCCTACATAATAGCAATACACTACTAGAAATATTTTTAAAAATTTTTAATGTTTTTTATTTATTTCTGAGAGAGAGAGACAGCGTGAGCAGGGGAGGGTCAGAGAGAGAGGGAGACACAGAATCTGAAGCAGGCTCCAGGCTCTGAGCTAGCTATCAGCACAGAGCCCGACACGGGGCTCGAACCCATGAACCGTGAGATCATGCCCTGAGCTGAAGTCAGATGCTCAACCGACTGAGCCACCCAGGCACCCCTAGAAATAAATATTTTAAAAATACCATCTGGGAGCACCTGGCTGGCTCAGTCAGTGTTGTATGTGACTCTTAATCTTGGGGTCATGGGTTTGAGCCCCACATCAGTTATAGAGATCACTTAAAAATAAAATCTGAAAAAAAGGAAAAAAAATCCAAAGTAGCATTTAAAAATATGATAAACTTAGGGATAAATCTGACAAAAGATGACTAAAACTTCTACACGGAAAACTCCCAAACATTGCTGAATGTCAGGAAGGCCTAAGTTAATGGAGAGAAATACCATGTTTATGAATCAGAAGATGCAATAGTGTCAAGATGTAACTTCCACCCAAATTGATACATAGATTAAATCCTAACCAAAATCTTAATAGTTTTTTTTTTTTTAATTTAGAAATTAACAGACTGGCTCTAAAATCCATAGAAAATGCAGAGGATCTGGAATAGCCAAAATGACCTTTGAAACAGAAGAGCAAATTTGGAGGACTAATCTTCCTGTACTTCAAGTCTTGTTACAAAGCTGTAGTAGCCAGGAGAATAAGCTGTCAGTGCAAAGGTAGAGAGCGGGTCTGTGGGACAGAACAGAGCCCACATTAGACCCAGCTAGTTTCACACAGAGATACAAAGGCACTTCCGTGAAGGAAAGGATAGTGCTTTCCTCAAGTGGTGCTGGGACAGGAGGATGTCCAAATGCATAAAAAGATGAGCTTCAACCATACTTTATATTGTATGCCAAAGCTAGCTCAAAATAGATCATAAACCAAAATATAAAACCTAAAACTGAAGGGGTGTCTGGGTAGTTAAGTGTCTGACTCTTGGATTCAGCCCAGGTCATGATCTCATGGTTCGGGAGTTCAAGCTCCACATCAGGCTCTACGCTGACAGTGCAGAGCCTGTTTGGGATTCTCTCTCACCCTCTCTCCCCCCACCCCCTGCTCACGCTGTATTGGTCTCAAAATAAATAAATAAACTTTAAATAAAAAAAAAAAAAGGAAAGTCCTAAACCTAAATTAAAACAAACTACAACAACAAAACCCTGAAACTGTAAAACTAGTACAAAACACAGAAATTTTTTCTTGGCTTGCTCTCTAGAATGTTTTTATGTGTGACGCTAAAAGCACTGTCTACAAGAGAGAAAACATTGATACGTTGGACTTGAACAAAATTAAATCTCCTCTTCAAAAGACAGTGTTAAGAGAGTAAAAAGATTCAGCAGTTACAGACGAGCAAGAAGAGGCGGCTAGCGGCCCTGTGGTGGCGGATCTCCGTTGGGGGCCTGGTGTGGGGGTATCGGAGGGATGTGCACATACACGGGCTAGTGTACAGATGCATCTCTCCCAGCTCTGGCAGCACCCCAAAAGCAATGAGCACACCTCACACCCAGATCTTGGTTCTTAATACCATTTTCCATTGCGAGGAACCAGGACTGCTTGGAGAAACAGCGGACTCTAGGGCCGGTGCAGGGAGGGCACAGGGCACAGCGCCCAAACTGAAGAAGTGCTGGCGGGGCCAAGGGAAGCTGCCAGGGTGTGTCTGGACACAGGAGCCAACGAAAAGGGCTCCCAGTGGCCAAAGCTGGAGCAATTGAGGGAAGACGCAGTTATATTGGATTATAACTCAAAGTGAAAAATGATACACCCATAAGCCCTTAGTGATAGAAATAAATGATAAGATAGTGATCTCCCGTGCAGAATAACAAATAAATACTTTGTGTGAATGGTCCACTGTCAGAGAAGAGCATAACTCTCAACCTTAGTGTGGGCTGTGCATGGAGACTTCCCTTCTGAAGAGCTCAGGACGGAGGGGGGACGAAGGGGTCCTTGTCAACAGTGGTAAGGTTTTTTTTGTGCAGACTGGGAGGCATGCCCAGATCAACCCGAGAAGCCTATTGTGCCACCCAGCACCTTCTCCAGCGCTAGCTCAGGAGCCTGTGACCCCTGAGCGCAGCCATTTAGGAGCCAGATGGCTGAGCTGGGGGCTCCTCGAGCCAGCCAGAGTGTCAGGAGCTGACTGTGTCTCTTCTCTCGGCCAGGGGCACCTTCCCTGCATCTTCCTGCCTACCTCTAGCATGAGTAGAGCCAGCTTTCTGGTTGACCATGCTCAGCAAGGCCCCAGTACCTACCCCGGGCACATGGTCCAGACACATTCCCATACACAGCCACACACACCACATCACTCCTGGACTGGGTTCTCCTCAGCCCCAGCTGGGCATTGGCTATGGTCCTATGTACCTTTAAGGAACCCAGCAGGGCTGCAGTGCCTTCCCAGCTGATGGGGGTCAGCCCCAAGCAGGCCCAGGGGCCTCCTCGCCAGCCACACCGGGACCCGCGTGGGCATGCATTCCTGGGTTTGTGTTCTGTGGTCCTCATGGCTCTGTTTGCTCCCCAGTGACGCAGCATATGAAAGCGCTCCTGGAAAGGAACACTAAGAAGAAGTCCAAGTTGAGAAAGAAACCCAAGCCTTATGTTGAGGAGCCGGATGGTAGGGCCTCTCCCCGCAGCCCCTGTGCGCTGTGTCTGCACAGTTCTGCTCTCCAGCCTAGGCCGCCTGGCCTCCTTTCTCTAACCGCTTCTGGGCTGGAAGGGGTGTTGGTGGGGTGGCACTAACCATCAGGCCTGCGGCCTCCTGAGCCAGCCAGAGGCCTCAGGTCACTGAATGGGCTCCTGGGAGAGGCTGCACCTGCCCTGTGCCTTGTCTCCGTGGTGCTCAGGACAATTTCCAACTTGCACGCTGGGCTCTCAGTGGGGAGGGGCGTGAGGACGCGCTGGGCAAGGCCTGCTGGAAGCCCCCCTAGGTGAGTGTTTACTGAGGAAGTGCCCCTGAGGGCCAGTGCCTGTCCAGTCCTGACCTCCAGCCCAGGCCACCCTGGCCTTGCTTCCCCGGAGGGAGCTCATGGATTTTCCAACTTCCGCCAGCAGCCCTGCCCTTCTCCTGGGCCCGGCTCAAGACCCACACCCCCATCCTACCGCTGTCCAAGCTCCACAGAAGCCCCGTTAACCCAAGACTGTGCCCTCCCCGCTGGGAGAGCTGGTGGTCTCACTGCTGCCCTGTCCACTTCCCTTCCTGGCACCAGGGCTCTGGGGCCAGCCCCTGCCCCCCTCCCCACCCCCGGCACTTCCCCCAGCCTCGATACACATACCTTATTCCCCAGACTTGCCCCACTTCTGTTTCTCTGATACTAGTCAACCTCAACACTCCTTCCTCTGGGAAGCTCTCTGGATGCACGCTGCCCTTGGGCCACACCCATCTGGAACAGGAGTGGAAGGGGCTCTGAGCTCCTGCCGGAATCTGTCCATGAGTCATGTTGCCACAGGGCGGTGGGCCTGGGCTCCTGTGGGCCTGGGCTGGGGCCAAGCGGGACACTAGAGCCCACAATGGTGTTGGGTAGTGAGGAGGGAGCTAGAACCCCTGGGACCCAGCAGTTTCCATGCCAAGAGGTGGTGGCAGTGGCAGGTTCTGGCCAGATCCAGCGACTTCTGAAGCTTAAGGCCAGGGCTCAGGGACACTAAGGCCCCAGGGCAGGCCTGGATCCCTGGCATAGTAGCATAAACTCAGTTGCTTCTGTCAGCCTCTCTGGGGGCCACCATCTCCCCATGTATAAGACTGGGTACTGTGTGCCCTGGCAAGGCTAGGACAGGTCAGGGTGTCCGAAGCAGAGCACCCCACACCATCGTGAGGGTCTCCTGGATTGGCCATAGGCACTGCACAGCCTCCCAGGCACTCAGCAGACAGCCCACGGTCCTGGCCTGGGGAGTTGTACCCACCACAGCACAGGGTGCAGAGGAGCTCTCTGGGCTCTGGGCCCACGTGGCCTCAGTCCTGTGCTAGGTGCATCGGCTCAGCTGTGGACCAGACTCCACTGTCAGCCCTTTATGGGCACGTGTGAGGTAGGTGTCCCTGTCCCCATCCTACAAAGGAAGAAGCTAAGGCCCAGAAAGGCTGCCTTGTGACCTGGGTTACCAACTGAGAGGTGGCAGCCTCAGGATCTTCAGGTCACAGTCTGTTGGAGGTCAGGGTATCTCTCTCGATCAGCCCCAAGACTAAGGGCAGGAGGCATTTGCTCAAGAGAGGGTAAATCCTACCCAGTCTGTTGCCTTTCTGCAAAGTGTTCTCTGGACTCCTGGTGGCCAGTGTACAGCCCAAGGTGCCCTTTGCCTTCCAGCTCCCTGAGAGCCTGCCCAGAAAGGCCGGGTTGGCCTGTGGCAGAAGGTTCCAGGTGCTGTGCCCTGAGCTGGCCTATCAGAGGCAGCAGCTAGGATTCTCTGCCAGGGTTTTGTGGATCCCCAGGGACCACAGGGAAACAGATTCTCCAGGGAGAATGAGAAATGTTTGTTTTCACTTTAATTACTCTAAAAAAGAATCCCTTTACCACTTACAATAATAAAACTGTCTTGTGATAACTCAAAAAGATTTTTATGGGCTAAGCCAGTGTTTACGTTCTTCACATTGAGGTCCAAGGCCCCCCGTGTGCTGGACATCCACAAGAAAGTGCTTCCTTTAAAAGAAGATGGGGCATTTGGATTAGTGACTTGGGTGTAGAGGCCTCCCTCTGGCAGGCACTGGGCAGGTGGGCCCAGTAGAAGGGCCTTCCAGAGAAGGGGCCAGTCCTAAGCCTGGAGGCACAGAGCACAGCCTGTCTGTCTGTCGGTCCTTGGCCCCTTGGCCTGGATGGCTTCTCTGGGCTCAGCCTCACTGTGTATTCTTGGTCTTCTTGCCACTTCTGTTTCCCCTTCCTCCCTGCCCCTTCCTCTCTCCCCTTTCCCCCTACCCCCTTCCCATCACCGGGAAAGATGCTGCACATATTTCAGACCCACCCTGTGTGGGATCTCCTCCTCCACTACCCCTCCCTCTCCCCACCCTGTGCTTCTCTCTCCTTCCCCTTGTTCCTGTATCTGGAGAACCTCCTGGCCAAGGTTCCTGAGGTTCTTGCCCTCAAAACGCCACCCTAGACCTCACCCCAAGACAACCAGCCAGAACCTCTGCCAGGGCCGAGCTGTAGAAAACTCTGCCAGTGAGGGCAGAACTGACAAGTGTCCTTCTGTGGTCCTCCCGCTGACGCGCTGGGGACATGGGGCATCCTCTCCACGTTCATCCCCTTTTCCACGGCCACCCATCCCCTCGGCTTTCCGTGACTCCTGCCCACACAGCCCTCAACAGAGAGGGAGGGGCATTGCAGGCTGAGGCCCCCTCCCACAGCTGCACAGCAGCCCTGGCTGGAGGCAGTGCTGCAGGACAGTCCACCCAAAGCCCCCTCCCCAGTGCTGGCCCAAAGCAGAGGGTACTGAGCTCCTCTAGTCCTGTTGCCTGTGTAAATGACCCTTCTCAGGGCTAACTTGCAAGGGGAGCATGGGATTTGGAGGCCCTGGGGCCTAGGTCCTGCCTTATCCTGCCTATGACTCCTTAGCGGGAACAAACGTCATTCCCAGCCCACCCTTCATGGCCATGGGGAAGGGTTAGTGGGCTGGCAGAGGAGTCCCTTCCCAAGCTCGCCTCCGTGAGGCGAGGGAAGTCCCTCTGGCCTCTCGATGTGGGTTTCTGCTTTAAAGGACTTAGCCTAGGAGAGTGAGGACCCACTGGCTCGGGCCCCCAGGGCTCTGGCAGAAGCTGCCTCTCCTCACCCCTGCTGCTGCTTCTCTTAGCCTCTGTGCCCCGCACAGCCACCCCCGGCCAACCAGAACTTGTTCTCTTCCAGGGGTGGCGATAAGCACATACGCCAAGTACTGTTACCACAAGCTGCAGAAGGCGGCCCTGACAGGGGCCAAGAAGGTAGGAGCTTCCCCCAGGACAGCCAGGCAGGGGTGGTGGGCTGTGCTGGTGACACCTAGACAGGGTGCAGAAGGAGGCCTTGGCAAGCCACCCTCACGTCCTACTGAACGCTCTACTCGCCTTGAGCCCGGCCTGCACATTTGGCTGGGGGCGTGGGGGGTGTGACAGTTCACAGCACAGAAGGTGCTCCACAGAGACCACCTAGGCAGGCGGCCAGGGAAGGCCTCGGGCAGAGGCTGCACTCCAAGCTCAGGAGCCACTGCAGGCAAAGGGGTGTGTGACTAGGCCAGGGCGGCAGGACTCTGCCCACTGCTGCAGCAGCAGCAGCTGCTCCAGGCCCACCACCGGCAGGCTGGTGCGGTGAGGGGCTGAGGAGGGGCACAGCACGTGGACAGGCTAAGAGCCCACACTTCCCAGAAGGGACCCTCCCCCGCCCCCGGCAGACTGCCTCTGGATCCAGGGGAGGCCAAGCCTTGAACTGCAGGGTGGGCTCAGAAGACTGCCCTGTGTCCCTTCACTCACCCACCTGACTGTGATGGTCCAAGAGCCCAGACCCACCCCTGGCAGTTGGGCAGATGGTCCCAGTAGTGTCCTCCCGAGCCACTTCCCTGGCCCCCGTTCTGCTGCTGGGGTCTTTTACTGCCTGGCAGAGCTTGACAGCCACACCCCTCGCACAACCTCTCATCTTCCCTGCCCTGAGCCCACATTTTGTGGCACCTGTAGAGGGGCCTCAGTCACACCAAACACCTGGACCTTGTTCCCTGGTCTTAGGATGTGTGGCCCTTGGCCATCTTCCCCTTTTATCCACTGCCTCCCTTTCAGCCTACCTCCCCTACCAGGAAGCCCTCAGGCCCTCCTAGGCTATTGAAGGCAGCTGTCCCAGAGCCTGGCCACTCCTTCCCTCCTCTCCCTCCTAATGCACTTCTCTAGGGCTGGCTCTAGAAGCTGCTGCCTGTCCCACCTCAGGCTTCTCCCCCTCACCTCTACCCCAGCGTGGTCTCCCATGGTCCAGGTCGGCCAGCCTGGTCCTTCCACGGTCACAGGCAGCTCTCATTCCAGGAGTCCTTCCCATCTTCCCCCTGAGTGACCAACAGAGGCCACCTGAAGATTTGGGACATTGTAGGTGGCCCAGCAGGATGCCCCTCCCCCAGTGATTTGGGCACAGGGAATTGGGGGTACCCCTAGCTCTGACTAGGCAGATGTCTGGAGTTACCTGGGATGAGAGAAGACAGGAGAGGGGAGGGTGGCTGAGCCAGAGGCAGCCCTGGGAGGGTACCAGGCAGAGGGCAGGCAGGGAGCAGGGCGGTGGAGCTGCACCGAGGCACAGAGCTGGGCTGTCTTTGCAGGGGCTGAAGAAGCCCAACGTGGAGGAGATCCGGCACGCCAAGAACGCCGTGTTCAGCCCGTCCATGTTTGGCAGTGCGCTGCAGGAGGTCATGAGCATGCAGAAGGAGCGTTACCCTGACCGGCAGCTGCCCTGGGTACAGACACGTCTATCTGAGGAGGTGCTAGCGCTCAACGGTGACCAGACGGAAGGCATCTTCAGGTGCCCCGCAACCTGGGCCCTGGGTGTGGGGGCCTCGGGCGGCTCCACTGTGTGTCTCAGGCAGGCAGGAGCCATCAGGCACTGGGACCACTTGGCCTACCTCCGTGCCTCAGCCCTGGGGTTTTGGGGCCAGGAGACCCATGCCCCTGCCTGGGAGTAGCCAGAGAGGCCCCCCCACAGGAAGCCGTCATCTGCATGGGGAAGACACACTGGAGCAGATGGAAGGCCACCATGTAGCCTGGAGAGGCAGGGCAGGGCCCTGTCTTTAGGAGGCAAGTCAGAGTCATCCCCCTGAATGGCAGCAAGCCTGAATTTAGGCAGGAGGGCCAGCCAGAGACAGTGCCTGTGCAGAAATGGCCACCAGGGCCCTGCCCAGAGGGCACTTGGACAGCCACCACAGGCAGGGCCTAAGACCTGAGCCTGGAAAGATGGCACAGCAGGCAGATGGCGCTCGCCCGTGAAGAGGGATGACAGCCCCAGCCCTGTGGGGAATGAACGGCACAAGTCCCAAGAGGACAGCTGGGGAAACAGGCCTGTGGATTTGATCCTCAGTGGCCTTGGCGATAATGGCGTTTGCATGGGGGTGGCTAGCAGAGAGGAGAGGGACAGCAGTCTGCATGCATAGGGCAGGGGCTCCAAGCCACCTCTCTCGCTGGTGGAAAAGAAGCCAAGCAAACGGGGAGGGGCCTGATGAAGGGCAAGACAGGTTCCAACTCCGTGAGACCCACCGTGTACTCCACAGGGTCCCTGGGGACATTGATGAGGTGAACGCCCTGAAGCTACAGGTAGACCAGTGGAAGGTGCCCACAGGCTTGGAGGACCCCCACGTCCCTGGTAAGCCCCCCTCCCCCCAGGGGCCGGAGCAGGCCTGGTCTGGACCCGTTGGAACAGCTGGCCTCCCGCTTGTTCCCCCAGTGATGCCGTGGCTCCCGGTCCGTTTCCAGCACAGACACCCCCTGCCCATCAGAGTCTCCCCCGGGGCCTCGTGCCGGCCTGGCCCGCAGCCCTCCTGCATTCCCTGCACAGCCCCGCAGGCCTTCAGGGTCCGGGCCCGGGCAGCCTACGCAGGCCTGGTGGGCCCTTTCCCGTCTGGTCACGCCGTGTGCCTCCCCTCCCCCCCACATCCTCTGCCGCGCCCTTGCTCCCACTACAAGGCTGCCCCGCCCAGGGGTGCCCCGCCCAGCAGGCTGGGCTGAGCACCCCCCCCCCGCCCCCCCGCGCTGTGTCCGCAGCGTCGCTGCTGAAGCTGTGGTATCGGGAGCTGGAAGAGCCTCTGATCCCGCACGAGTTCTACGAGCAGTGCATCGCGCACTATGAGAGCCCTGAGGCCGCCGTGGCCGTGGTGCACGCGCTGCCCCGCATCAACCGCCTGGTGCTGTGCTACCTCATCCGCTTCCTTCAGGTACGCGGCGGGGCACGCCCCGCCCCCCGCCCCGGGCGCGCTCCACGCCGGCCCCGCGCCCACCTTCCTTTCCCCTCCGCGCAGGTGTTCGTGCAGCCCGCCAACGTGGCCATCACCAAGATGGACGTCAGCAACCTGGCCATGGTCATGGCGCCCAACTGCCTGCGCTGCCGGTCGGATGACCCGCGCGTCATCTTCGAGAACACTCGCAAGGAGATGTCGTTCCTACGCGTGCTCATTCAGCACCTGGACACCAGCTTCATGGAGGGCGTGCTATAGCACGTGGGCCCCAAGGACCGAGGGTGGGGACAGAGCCGACGCTCGGGAGCGCCCGGGCAGGGGAGCACGCGGGGAGGGGGGAGGGAACGCCCCAGCCGCGGAGGCAGCATGCCAGGCCCCGCCCATGCCCGCCCCAGCCCTGGAAGCCCCCATCTCTCCCCCCAGGCCCTTGGCCTGAGGTCGCAGCCAGGGCAGAGGGGCTGTGGGAAGGGCGTCTCTGTCCGCCCCCCTCCCATCCCGCGGCCTCGTGGCCAGTTCTGTGGGCACCGCCCCCGCCCACCGCCGGCCGGTCAGCCCCGAGAAAGTGCCTTCTGTTTCCTGGAGCCAAGTGACACTGCCCCTCCCGGCCGGCCGGAGAGCACACGCCACCCTCCCCTGGGGTGAGCTGCCTCGCTGGGGCTCCTGTGCTCAGCCTGGCCCTGGCCTGGACCCTGCCCGGCTGCCCCTCTTTCCTCTGCTCGCCCCCTTCTCCTCCGTTTCCTTACTGGCCGCAGTCTCCTCCTGCCCCCCCCTCCCCTTCCACCACCTGTGGCCTCCAACGGGGAGACTGCGCAGGAATTTGGGGACCCCAGGGCACTGGGCTGTCCCATCACCAGAGCAGGACTGGCAGGCTCTCTCTGCGTAGGGAGGAGCCCCCAAACCAAAGTCCTCTGGGGTCGGGGGCAGGGTTGGGCAGGCATTCTTGGGGCGGGGTGGGGGAGGGGCAAGAGTATTTTTTCTTCGTGTAACTATAAATTCAGAATCTATCCAGCACACCAACCCGCCTGTGTATAGAGATATAGAGGGAAAGATATAAGAACTAAATTTGCTAATGACATAGTTTTAACCCAAATGCTATTTATCTCTGAGCCGTCCTAGCCTGTCCTCTGCAGAGCAAGTTGATCTCACTCCTTCATTTTCTTCGCCACTTTCTTGGCTTCTGACCAAAAACCAAACCCTGCCCCGTCCCCATCTGGGACCTGCAGTTGAAGAGAGGGAAGGAACCGCAAGCTGGGGAACCAGGGAGCGCCCAGGATTGCCCTTCCTCAAGGCCAGAGCTGGGGTAGGAAGTACCTAGACTCTCAGTTTGTACATTTTCCATCTTGGAATTTTGAGTTCCAATTGTAAAACTTAATTTCTCCCCAGTTTATATATATATATATATATATATATATTTTTTAGAGTTGAGTTTTTATTTATTAAAAACAAAAAAGCCCAGCCCTTGCCGTGGCCCGGCTGTCCCCTGAGGCAGCGTCCTCAGCCGGTGGTCTCCGGGCCAGAGGTGGGTGGCCCGGCCACAGACTCTCGCTCTGACGCATGGACTCAAGAGGTGACAACACTTTGTGTGAATAAAGTACATACGGACACTTGAGAGCCATGGTCACTTCCTGTCGCCTCCTCTTCTTCCGGTCGCCAGAGGGCTGCAGGGGCTTGCTTGGGGGTTGGGCAGCCCACTACATAAGCCAGCCTGTTGCTGGCACAGTCACCTGGGTAGACAGGCCAGGAGGGCAGGATTGGGCGTGAGGGGAGGGCTGCAAGCAAGGCTGTTTCTTGGGAATGAGGGCCAGGTGATGGGCCAGGGAAGAGGCACCGGGTGGGTGTTGGGCCGCCTGGGGCATGTATCTAAAGGCCTGCCCGTTTGCACAGGGAGTGGGCTTTTTGTGGCCCGCCCTACCCTCAATCTGCTATAGGCTTCTAGGCAGAGTGTTGATTCAGAAATTGATCGAAAACGCAGACTGCTCCGCCGAGCTGGCTTTCTGAGCAGCAGGCGGAGGCACGTGTCGGCGGCCAGCCTCCGAGAGCGGAGGGGCAGACCCTGCACTCCCGTCAGGGCCCCGTCCCCAGCCCGTCTCGCGTGCGCACCCTGCCGTCGGGCGTTCTCGCCCGCCATCCCTTCCCGGTAAGGACGGCAGGGCAGGCCAGAAAAGGAACAGCATCGGGGCCGCCCGCTGTCCTGGTATCCCGTGCGACCTGGGAAAGCGACCTCCGCGACAGCTGCCGGAACCCAAAGTGTGAGGCCGCAGTCGCCGGGGGAAGCGTGTTCACGCAGCGCCAGTCCCGCGTGACCGGCCCGCCGCTTCCGGCACGGCAGGACGATGTGGAGGGCACGCAAGGCGCCCCGGACCTGCGCCGTTATCTTGGCGCGGTCCCCGGGGGCCCGGGCCTGCGGTGGGAGCAGGGGCGTCTCCTACACGCAAGGCCAAACCCCAGAGCCCCAGACGCGAGAGTACTTTTATTATGTGGATCATCAGGGCCAGGTGGGCCGGGAGCGGGGCCGGAGGGAGCGCACCAGTAAGAGGTGGGGCCAGAGAGAAGGCACCGTTGGAGGGGCGGGGCCGGGTGGGCGGGCGGAGTCTCTGAGGCACTTAAACTCGACAGCGGAGGTGGGACCGAGAGTTGGACAGCCTGGGGCGCCCAATCTCAGGCCGAGAGGGGTCGGTCCCCCCAGCAGCCAACCAGCCACATGTTGCTGAGCTCTGCATCGCCAGACCCTGCCCGACCCCGCGGTCCCCAGCTTCGGGCCACCCTGCCTCTTGCAAGCCCTGGCAGGGGCATCATCCAGCATATCCGGGAGGAAGCAAGTCGGGGAGGAGGTGGCACATCTAATTAGAAACTTTTAAAGAGGAAGGGAGAGGTACAGGGAAGGCATGGCAGCTCAGGAACCCTCACGCCCCGGTGTGCGGGATAGATGCGGGAATGTCGGCAGGGCGCCCAGGTTTACTTGCCACTCGCCTCTCTGCACACGATGCGCACAGACGCGCAGGGAAAGTGGACCCTGGCCCCGGCTCAGACCTGCCCAAGCCTCCCCGCCCTGGGGCTGACTGTGTCGGGCTTCTAACTGGGACTCATGGGCCATGGCCTGCCCCTCTGTCTGCAGCTTTTCCTGGATGACTCCAAAATGAAGAACTTCATCACCTGCTTCAAAGGTACTGCTGCAACCTCTTCCCCACTTTCATTATCCTTTCGGCCCTGGTGGGCTCTGCTCCAAACCTGCCGACTGGCCCGTCTGAAGCAGAGGACTGGGCGTCCTGTGCTCAGGAGTCCTGCTATCTAGAGGCCAAGGTGGTGTAGTGACAGCGCCCGTGGCGTTGCCCAGGGCGCGCCGATTGCCTGGGGGAGTAGGGCCCCGGGTAGACTGGCATGGTAAGCAACCGTGTCCTTCTCCTCCAGACTCACAGTTCCTGGTCACCTTCTTCTCCCGCCTGAGACCCAACCGCAGCGGTCGCTACGAGGCCTCTTTCCCGTTCCTCTCGCTCTGCGGCAGGGAGCGCAATTTCCTGCGCTGCGAAGACCGGCCCGTGGTCTTCACGCACCTGCTGGCCTCGGGCCCCGGGCCCCCGCGTCTCTCCTATTGCGGCGGCGGTGAGGCCCTGGCGGTGCCCTTCGAGCCAGCGCGTCTGCTGCCGCTGGCCGCCAACGGGCGACTCTACCACCCCGCGCCAGAGCGGGCGGGCGGCGTGGGCCTGGTGCGCTCGGCCCTAGCCTTCGAGCTTAGCGCCTGCTTCGAGTACCCGCCCGGCGCGCCCGCGCTGCCCTCCCACGTGCGTTGGCAAGGCCACCGCCTCGCCCTCACCATGGACCTGGCCCCGCTGCTGCTCGCCGCCTCGCGGCCCTGAGCCGCAAGCTTGGAGGGACGGCTGGCGGCCGCGCGTGCCCCTGGCCGCACCAAGGTCCCGCCCCGCTCTCCCCTCATCCCAGCTGTCCATGCCGCGCATCGCTGCGCACGCGCCACCCAAAGAGCGCGCCGGCCGAATGCGCGTGCGCGGCAGAGGTGCACCGCGGCCCCGCTGTACGGGCGCTGTCCGAGGTGCTGCCGCGGCCTCGAACGCGAGGCGGGGCGGGGTCGCGGGCCCTTCTACTTCCTTCCCTCCTCCCAACACCTCGGGCCTGGGGCGTCCTTTGGTTCAGCCCTCGCTCACCGGGCAGGCCCCGGCGGCGCGGGGGCTTCAGTACGCGTGCGCGAGCGGCGCCCGCCCCTCCCCCGCCCGGCACTGCTCGGTGGGCCTGGGCGCCGCGGGCACAGCGGGGGAGCCGCGCCGCGGGAGCGTCAGGTGAGGGGGCGCCCGACCCGAGGTCAGTGGGCATGGGGGCGGGATCGGGGGCCTTCCCGGCTCTGACCCCAGCACGCATCGAGAAGGGGAGGCGACCTGGCAGGGACCACGCCCTGCCCTGAACTGGCCCGGGACAGACCCACACTGGAGGGGGTGCAGGTGACACCGTGGGGATCGAGGCACGCGACCTGGGCTTCGCATTGCTCCCCGAGGGGGTCGCAGGGCTTCTCCGCCCCTCCAGTCCCCGCACAGATGGGCGCCCTGGAGACGGCGACAGCCATCGCAGAATCCTGTGTGTGACGCCCCGCCCCCTGACCAACCGGATTAGAGGGCTATCGGCTGGGTAAAAGGATTTCTAGGCCGGCCTCCTCTGCTCTTCCCGCCTGGGCCCTCATCCCTGCTCAGGCCTGCCCTTTTATTCCAATCAGCGTCTAGGGGGTGTCCCTGTGAACAGTGCCTTGAATCCTGAGGCGGAAGCCAAGAAGCCCCTCTACTTAAGAGTACTGGCTGCTGGAGGCTGATTGGGCAAGACCTGAACCAGCCCTTATGCTCAGGAAATGGAGCCCAGGATATGCCTTCAGGTTCATGGGGTTCACACTTCCTGAGACACCTGGGAACTGCCTCTGCCTGGGCCAAAGCTATTCCATTAAAACTTTTGCTGTGCCTATCTCATTTCTAGTGACTTTAAATAATCATGCGAGTTACCATCTAGAGCAAGATTCGAACAGACATCAAGGGCACTTGGTACCTTTCCACATGACTCACTCTTGCTAACAGGGAGACTTGGAAAACAGGCAGGTGTTCAGAGTGGGGACCATTTGAGGAAGGCCTGGAGGCTGCATGACAGCACACCCTCAGCTTTGCTGTCCCTGGCTCCAGATTAGCTTCTCAGCCCACGTCCCCACCTTTAAAACTGCACTCATTGTGCCTGGAACTAGACGCAGGTCTTCTCATCCTTCTAGGATCCCCAGTGCATGTGCATAAATCCCCAGCACACTATATATTCCTTTATAATCAAGGAGGTCACTGCTCCCAGAGCCCACTCAGGAACTACCTTAGAAACCCAGTTGGTGGCCCAAGGCACCTCTTTCCCAACCCAGCTGTTCCATGACCCCACCTGCACCTTTCTGGGAGCCAGCAGAGAGAACATAGGCCAAGACTTCTGAACTGACTTTCCCATTGTGTGTCACATCCCCCAATTCTCTAACAAGTTCCTCAGAAATAACCCTAATTCTGTTTAAAGTGTTCCACCCTCCCTCACCCCCAGAAGGGCTGGGGCAGGGGCTGGGCAAGCTATGTTTGCATTTTCCTGTGGCTGGTGGCTCCCAAGGTCAGTTCTACCCATGTTCCCCAGCAAGATACATCAGGTGGGTCCCAGGGTTAGGAGGCAGAGCATGGCTTCTGGGGATAAAAGGACTAGGCTTAATGCTGGGTCAGGGTCAGGTGATGACAAGGACACTTGTGGTGAGGGACCTCGGGCTTCTTTTAGGCACAAAACTGCTCTGGGCTCTGCTTTTGGACATCTCCATGTGAACAAGGGGAAATGTCTTCCTAGGGCCTCTTCCCCTTCTAGCCTGGGCTTGGGTAACTGGGCTTCATCACCTACATGTTCCCAAGCCCACACGTTGCATCAGACTCTTGTACCTACAAGTCAAGGAGTGGCTAGTTGCTAGAATGTAGAGGGAAGCCTGATCCAGACATCCACGTGCATGAAGGCAAAACCCCTTACAGTGCCAGATGGAAGCAGATGGGAAGAGAAGGGGGCTGGGTGGGGTGGGCTCTCCCCACATGGCCAGTTGTGGTAAGACTAAGAACTCTGGAAATTCTAAATCGGAACCTGATTCACCAAATCTTCATGACTGTGCTTTTGTAAAGGAAGAGAACCAACTTTTTGGTTTTTGTTGTTATCGGTTGCTTGAACTGATTTGTAACTTTTCAGAAATTAGACACAGGGTGTGGGCCTCCATCCATGTTCTTCGCTGGCTCTCAAGTGTTAGGGGCAGGCCTGCCAACCTGTGTTTCAGGAGGCACATCACATCCAAGGTGAACTGTAAGGAGGCCCGTCAGGAGATTGCAGCTCCGTGGTCCGCGGCCGGTCCCGCGGGAGATGGCCCCGGGGGCGCCCACATCGCTGCTGCTGTGGCTGCTGTGGCTTCCTGGCTTCCCGCCCCGCGCTGCCGGCTGCCCAGCCGCCTGCCGCTGCTACAGCGCCACGGTGGAGTGCGGCGCCCTGCGGCTTCGCGTCGTCCCGCCCGGAATTCCACCCGGGACGCAGGTGGGCACCGCTTGGGGCCACGGGGCCGCAGGTTTGAGGTGCCCGCGACACGGAGGGAGGGGTGTGTGAATGTCCCCGTGGGTGCTGGAGACTCCCTCAGCGGGGTAAACACCCTCCCCCATTCCCTCCGGCCCGCAGACGCTGTTCCTGCAGGACAACAGCATCGCGCGCCTGGAACCGGGCGTACTGGCGCCTCTCGCCGCGCTGCGCCGTCTCTACCTGCACAACAACAGCCTGCGCGCCCTGGAGCCAGGCGCCTTCTGCGCGCAGTCACGCCTGCTGGAGCTAGCGCTCACCGGCAACCGGCTGCGCGCCTTGCGCGTCGGCGCCTTCGCGGGCCTGGCCCAGCTGCGTGCACTCTACCTGGCTGGTAACCAGCTAGTGCAGCTGCTGGATTTCACCTTCCTGCACCTGCCGGTGAGGGGGGGAGGTGGGCAAGGGTCCTCCGATTCCTGCCCTGTGGGGCTAGAGTTGTGAAAGGGAGAAAAGTCTACCCAGTCTAGCCTGGTAAGAAGGGGACCTGTCCCCCAGGGCCCCTTCCTCTCATGATGTGCTGTCTGTCCTTCTTCAGCGCCTGCAGGAGCTGCACCTGCAGGAAAACAGCATTGAGCTGCTGGAGGACCAGGCCCTGGCCGGGCTCTCCTCCCTAGCACTGCTGGACCTCAGCAGAAACCAACTGGGCACCATCAGTCGTGAGGCCCTACAGCCCCTGGCCAGCCTGCAGGTCCTGCGCCTCACAGGTACCTCCTGGGGGAAGGGGTCTCCTGCAAAGGTATCTTCCCTGGCCACGGTGGTGGCAGGGGGAAGCACGCCCAGGTGTGAAGTGGGCTCTGATGGCAGTGGCTCTGAATCGCAGCCCATCCGGGAGCGGCCCGGAGGGTCATCCCGTCACCATCGCCTGCACCCATGGGAGGCTGAGAGGAATGGGGGTGCTGGAAGGGGCGCAGCTCAGGGACCTTGCCTAAGGAAGACAGAAAAGGTAGAAATGTCTCGAAAGAGTTGAGGGACTTGCACACTTTGGGGCTAGTAGGGGGCAGACGGGCAGAAACTGGAAAGATGCAGCTAGGGCTGGCATTTCCAGGACACAGCACCGGAAGGCAAGGCTGACAGGACGTGCAAGGGCTTAGTGCTGTGAGATGCCTATGGGGACACCGCGTTCCCCCGCAAGTAATGGGACTTGCAGCAGGGAAAGCCTTCAAAGGAACAGAGGCTTTCTTAGAAATTAGTGAACAGGATCGTGCAGCACAGAACTGCGGGTGGAGGGAGCTCGAGGTCAGAGAAGAGGTGGCAGGGGCCCCTCTCAGGGAGGTGGGAAAGGGGTTCCAGTTCTGGCCAGCAGAAGCCCAACTGCAGAGGCGGTTCTGGGACCATCGCTGAGCTACCCGTCCGCCTCTGCTCTGCCCACAGAGAATCCATGGCGCTGTGACTGTGCCCTGCACTGGCTGGGAGCCTGGATCAAGGAAGGGGGCCAGCGACTGCTCAGCTCCAGGGACAAGAACATCATGTGCGCAGAGCCCCCGCGCCTGGCACTTCAAAGTCTCCTGGACATATCTGGCAGTAGCCTCATCTGTATCCCGCCCTCTGTACACGTGGAGCCGCTGGAGGTGACGGCCAACCTGGGTGAGGACCTGCGGGTTGCCTGCCAGGCTTCCGGCTACCCGCAGCCGCTGGTGACCTGGAGAAAGGTGGCCCAGCCTCGCGAAGGGCAGCCACGGGCCCAGGTCCAGCCAGAAGGTGGGGCACCGCGCCCAGGCGGGCCCGGCGCCTCTGACACAGGCAGCGGCATGCTCTTCCTCACCAACATCACCCTGGCCCACGCTGGCAAGTACGAGTGCGAGGCCTCCAACGCCGGCGGCGCCGCCCGCGTGCCCTTCCAGCTCCTGGTCAACTTGTCCCAGCAGCAGCAGCTGCAGCTGGCGCCCGTGCCGCCTCCGGCCGCCGGCCCCGTCAGCCACGAGCCCCTGCAGGAGGCCGGCAGCATGGCCTTCCGCGCCCTGGGCTTGGCCACCCAGACGGCCATCGCGGCCGCCATCGCGCTCCTCACGCTCACGGCGCTGCTGCTGGCGACCATGATCTGCCGCCGGCGGCGCAAGAGGAAAAAGGCGCCCGGACCGCCGGGGGAGGGCGCGCTATTCGTCAACGACTATTCGGACGGGCCCTGCACCTTCGCGCAGCTCGAGGAGCTCCGCGACGAGCGAGGCCACGAGATGTTCGTCATCGACCGTTCCAAGCCGCTCTTCGCCGAGGGCCCAACGGAGGCGGCCGACGGCGCGGCAACCGGGCCGGCGCAGGGCCTCCCGCTGCAGCCGCCAGCAGCCTACGAGATCCACTGCTGAAGAGCGCGGCCCAGAGGGGCGGGCGGCGGGCGGGCGCGCGCTGATGACGTAGTCTTCGCGGGTTGGCAGGCCCGCGGGCTCGGCCGGCGCATGCTCCAGCGCAGTCAGTAAAGAAAGGGTAGAAGCTGCGCAGTGTGCGGCGAGCCGTGTGTGCGATCTGGGGATCGGAGGGCGGGGCGCAGGCACCTGCGGACCCCCCAGCTCTGCGAACAGAAGCCCTCAGGGGTGAAGGGACGGTGGCCGAGGAGGCTCCCCACACCCCTACTTAGGAAGCCCTCCAGAAAAGATCCCTCCCAGCATCACCCTAACCGCTCGCTCTGCTGGAGGACCTGGGACCTCCCAGGGTGGGAGGGGCGAAGGGCCGGTGGGACGCCCAGGGAAGGGGAAGGCTGACAGCTGACTGAAACACAGCTGTTACCCAGTGGCTATGCTGCAGGGGGCAGCAGAGCCAGTGACATGTCATTCTGACCAATTAGGACAGAAAAAACCACCACAAATTTAAGTTCCAAACACACTGCACATTTGTACCTTAATGACACCCTCTGGCTCCAAAGCCCAGTCAGGTGGTCTCCTGGATGCCAGGGCAGAGAGAACCATGAAGGGCCCCAGGTGGGGACCCAACCCCCTTAAAAAGCAGGTCCCTGTTCCAACTTCAACCTCAGAGCAGTCTGTTCTTGGCAAGGGCCCAGACAGAACACCCTCTCTTGGCTCACAGCTGGGACCCCAGAAACATTCCAAAGAGAGGACCAGAACACCAGAGGGCAGACAAGTGCACCCAAACCGAGCCTGGCCTCAGGCCTGGAATCCAGCCCTTAAGCCCACAGTCAGCCAGTCAGGGGAACAGGTACGGTGCAAACCTGGCATGGTGTTGCGCAAAGCACAGGAAGGCCCGAAGTTCCCCGGAAGCAGGGAAACCAGAGACCAGCGCCTCTGTGTCAGGCCTCCAACAGGGTCCCAGAAAAGGCTCTGTCTACCTAAGGCAGGGTAGGGTCTCCAGCAGCCCTGACCACCAGGACAGCCTGGAGGTCATAGGCTGAAGTAGTCCGCGGCCAGGCGCCCATAAATGTCTGTGGTCCAGAGCACATGAGCACGGCCTGAGGCCAGTAGCAGCTGGTGCAACTCCGCCTCCACACGAGCAAACTTCTCCTCATTGATGGAAGCTTCCAGCAGGACAGAGGCAGGCGGTGGCCAGGGCAAACCCTCATAGCAGTCCACAGGGAAGGGGTGCACCACTGTGCGTAGCTCAGCTTGCACTACTGAATCCCGTAGGAGCTCCTTGAGGCCTGCCATGGACAGGGGGTTGCCATAGAGACCGAGGTAGCGGAGGCTGGTACAACGCGTCAACACAGGGAGCGTGGCCAGCAGCTGGGTATCAGCAAGCTGGCACTCAGTCAGCTCGAGGTGCAGCAGTGTGGCGGCCGCCGCCTGCAGGAGACCCTGGAAAGGCTCCAGCTGACTGCCGGACAGGTCGTTGCCACTAAGGTCCAACTTCTTGAGGTGGACAGCATGGGGGCTCCGTGCCAGGAAGCGCAGATCCTCAGGCAACAGGGCACAGAAGGCCAGCTCCAAGCTCTCCAAGGGGCTCTGCAGGGTGCTATAGGGGACACAGAGTCGCAACCAGGTAGGGCCAGGGGAGGGTCTCGAGGAGAGGGGAAAAGGGCAGGGCAGTAGTTGGGCTTGCTCACCTGAGTAGCTGGTCCAGCCTTCCTGAGAGAAGAGAGGAGCCCATGCTGAGCTCTCGCAGACAACTGAAGCGGCCCATCTGGGCCAGGAAGTAACGAAAGTTGTCCTCGCCATCCACAGAGGGCTGCCTCGAGTCCCCATGTACATAGTGCAGCCGCAGGCTGGCCAGGTGCTGGAATCGGGCCACGTGTGGGATGATAACAGACAGGCCACGCAGGCCCAAGTTGTTAAAGCGCAGGTCCACGCGGCGCAGGCAGCCAGCGTCCAGCAGCTGCAGCAAGGCCACTGTGTTGCGCATGGGCAGGTCCTCAGCCCGCAGGTCCCGGCAGCAAAGCCGCAGGGGACTGCCCACGCTACTCCGGAGCGCCTCCCGCAGGAACGCATAAGAGGCCCGGTTCACCCGCAGGTCCACACGAACCTCCACAGGAACGGGGGCCGGCCCAGGATCCGCAGTCCCGCCCTGCTGCTGTGCTATGCAGGTGCGGGCCACAGCTGCTGTGCAGTCCCACATGCTCATGGTGCCAGGGTCCTGCTCCACGCCGTCATCCAGGAGGCCCGTCATGTCCAGCACCCGCAGGGCATGCTTCCTGGGAGCACGGGTAGGCTGAGGCAGGAGACAAGGAAGCAGAGCCCACACCCACTCCCAGCCACCTCGGGACAGAAGCAACATGCCTGTTTCTGCACGGGGCTCTTGCACTGGCACGGAACCTCACAGGGGACCCTCTCTGCACCCCCCAGGCCTGAGAGCCCCTCGGGTGCGCCCATACCTGCAGAGAGGCTGTGTGCCAGCCTCGGTCTCTGGGGTGTGGAGCCGGGCTGTCAGCCCCAGGATCACAGCCTGCATGCTCTCTGTGCTGGGGCGCTCTTGCAGCAAGGCCCGGCTGCAGTGAGCACATTCCTGCAGCAGCTGCTGGAAGCTGAGCAGTGGGAAGGGCCATGTGTGCACCAGCTCGCGAAGCACAACAGTCTTCTTGTCCATGAAGGCCACCTTGAACAGCAGGGGGAAGAGCTCTCGAGGCAGCAGGGGTAGGGCCTGGCAGGCAGCTGGCTGGCACTGGAGCACCTGCCGAGTGCTCAGGAACACAAGCGTGTGCATGGCGCCGGGCCAGGCAGGAAGCCACCTGCAGGGAAGGGCCCTTCAGCGGGGAGGACAGACCCCAGGCCACCGCCCAGCCATAGCCTCCTCCATCACTGGTAGTGGGAAAAGCCAGCGTGGTGCTTGGACCGAGCTGGCGCTCAATGGAGGACTGAGGCACCAAAAAACAAGTGTCAGGTGCCTAACAATGGGCTTAACTAAATGGAAACAGGAACGAGGCCACCTCCCAGTCCCCTACCTCCAGAAGCATGGTGCCTCTTTAGGAAAACATAGCCATCAAACGTTACGTAAATAGCACAGCACCAAAAATGACCGGTTGCCCCAGTGTGTTTTTGATGGCTATTGATTGCTCTGTAGCCCCCCCCCCAACCCCACATCTGTACTTCAGGCCTCCCAAATCACAAAGCTAATCAGAGATCCTCTCTTCTTCAAAAGTAGAATAAAGCTCACAAAGCACACAAACACTAGAGAGAGTAAGATACTCCCAAGGGGCTGGAACCCGCCCCACCCTCTTCCAGGTCTGAACTGGAAGCACTGATGCAGCTTAATAAATACCAGCACAGGTAAGAAAAAAAAGTGGAACCCAGAGAACGTGACAGTCTGAGTAACCGGAGGCTTCAGCATGACCCTCAATCCTAACTACTATGGTCCAGTAGAACTGGCAAACATGGAGGTCCTTGCAGATTTACAGAAAAACAGAAAGCAAACCTCATCTGCAAAGTCCTTGCCACCTGTCTAAACGTCTCTTTTCCCTAGAGAACCACAGTGAGAGACGAACTCTCATACCCATGGGCTTCATAAGGCCCCAGGCCAGGAATTGCTCAGATGGGTAGAGGCAGCAGAAGGGGTATCCAAGTTAACAAGGGGCATGCAAAAGAGGCCTGAGATCCTGGGGGGGGGGGGGGGGGGGGGGGGGGGGGGGGCTGGATATAAGCTCTGTTACTGACTTCAACAGCACCTGCAGTCAGTGGACTCATTACAGGCCAAACATCTCATCCTCAAAACTGCTTCCCAGTCATCCCCCCAGAAACATTAGAAAATTAAGATCTAAACCTTGCCCGACCAAGGTCACAGCCTGGGCGATGAGCTCTGGGAAGAGGGAGCAGGCTGGCCCCAGAGTCCCTGCTCTTCCGGACCTCATACACAACGAAAGTCCTTAGGGCACTGGTTCTTGAGAAGCCCCGAACGCCAACCCTCGGCCTTGCTCTGCCTGTAGACAATTCTCGCGAGGACGACTCATACCTCGCTGTGACAGGACAGACCAACCAAGCACCTGTCACGAGAGGAAACGAAAGCAGCCAGTGTGGTCACCGTGGGAGGAGTCTCTGTCGTGGCTGCAGCCCCCTCCCGCCAGCTCCCCGCGTTTGCCCCCAGACGCCCCCGCCCGGCTCCTCCCCGGCTCGAGCCGAGGGACGCCCTCAATGCGACGCCCTCCTCCTCCCGCACGGGATCTGCCTCTCGAAACCGGTGCGTCGCCCCCCGGGGCCCTAGGTCGCTCTGCCCGACGCAGGGCTCCAGGTCCTTCCCCACCCCGCGAACAAACCGCCCGACTCCCGCTCCCGCCTCCCGGGCGGCGCCGCCCCGAGAGCCCACGCCTGCTTCGTGCGGCCAGGCAGGGCTAGGGACGCACGCCGCCCCGCTCCATCCACAGCCGGCCGGCCGCGCTCACCGGCCCCACAGCCGCTACGACCACCACCGGCCCCGCCTCACGGTCCGCCGCGCCCCGCCCAGCGCCTCCGCGCACCGCGATGACGTTGCCGCCACCCATTGGTCTCTCCACGAGGATCCCACTGATTGGCTGCCCCGGCAGCGGCTGCCCAGCCGCCCCGCCTCCGACCCTGCGGGGCGCCCCCATTGGCTGGCGGCCGACGTCGCCCTCGCGGCGGGAGATTCGCGGGGCCCGAGGCTGCGGGGCGCGCGCCATGGAGCGGCTGCGGGACGTGCGGGGGCGGCTGCAGTCTTGGGAGCGCGCGTTCCGGCGGCGGCGCGGGCGGCGGCCGGGCCAGGTGCGGGCTGTCCGGGGGCGGGGGACTGAGGGTGAGGCCTCCGGTTGACCCGCTTCCTTCACAGGAGGATGTGGAGGCGGCGCCTGAGGAGACCCGTGGTGAGCGCTCGGACGCTGGGCGGAACGAGGGGCGCTGGGTGGGTGGGGGGAGCGGCGGCCCCCGAGCGGCGGCCCCCGAGCGGCGGCCCCCAGTGACCCTTCGCACCCCTCCCCAAGCGCTCTACCGGGAGTACCGCGCCCTGAAGGAGGCCCTGGGCCAGGCGGGAGGGATCGGACCCCGCAGCCCCAAGCAGTCGCTTCCCGCGCCGGCAGAGGAGGTACCCTGGCCTTGCCGCCCCAGCCTCCCGGCCAGGTTCCTACGTGGCAGAGCCCAGAGGAGCCGTGACCGAGCTTCCGTGGGGCACAGCACGTGGGGGGAGTACTGGACATGGTGGAGCAGGGCCAGGGGCTGGGGAAGGGGGATGGAGACGCCTCCGCCCCGCACGCCAGCCCTTCTCCGACTTGGACTCCCGCTGCCGCTTCTCGCAGGTGCCGGAGCCCAGCTGCTGGGGGCCCCACTTGAATCGGGCTGCGACCCAGAGTCCTCCTCCTCCTCCTCTTTCTGCGCCAAGCCCTCCGGGGTCTGTGCGGGTCTACGGGGAGAGGCTTAAGGCCAACCTAAAGGGCACCGTGCAGGTGAGAGTTGAGAGGCGGGCAGGCCGGGCGTCCGCCCTGCATCCAGAGCCCCTCTCCACCCAGAGGCCCTCCCTTGTTAACGCTCGCGCGCGCATGTGCGCCTGTACAGTCGCGTGCGCGCTCCTCCGGCGCTAGTCAGGCGGAAACTCCCGGGAGGAGTTCGGAGCCAACCTCAGGGTGGAGATTTGGGCGGGTTTCAGAGTCCGCGGCAGCCCCAGACCTGAGTTCCTGCTTGTTGGTCTGTCCCCCGACGCCTCCCCGCACCCCCCGCACCTCCCCCCCGCTTCCAGGCTGGGCCCACCCTGAGCCGCATCCCCCGGACTCCACGGAGACCCTCATCCAAGATGCCCACCCCAGGGCCACCAGATGCAGGGGCTGCCCTCGTCTCTCCAGAAGAAGTCAGTGAAGCGCTCCTCCAGCCTCCTGGGCCCCAGCTGAGGCCAGGTCGCCTCCAGCAGCTACAGGCATCCCTGAGCCTGCGACTGGGCTCCCTAGACCCTGGATGGCTAGAGCGGTGTGACGAGGGGGCCGCAGATCTTCTGGGGGCTTCCAAGGCCTGCCAGCCTAACTTGGCTGTAGCGCAGTCACAGCCTCTGGTTTCGGGTGTCCCATCTGTCCTTGGTCCCAGCAGTGGCCCTGAGGCTCAAGCCCTACAGACAGCTGGAGTCCGTGCAGAGAGCCCCCAACCTGGCAATGGTCAAGGGAAGAAGCAGAGACAGAATAGGGAGCCAGAGGGGAGCCCTGCACAGGCCCAGCGAGACAGTGGCCAAACAGGAGCCCTGCCTGGGGAAACTGAGACCGTAGGACATACAGAAGACTCTTCGGGGAAACCCATGTGGGCACAGTCCCCCAGTGGCGCCACAGCGTCCAGGTACTACAGCTTCAGCCTCCCAGGAGGGTCACCGTAGGTCCAGCCAGGTTGGGGCAGGATCGGGGCACGGCCCACTCGTACATCCCTTCTAGAGCAGCTGTGCGGAGCAGAGGTAATTACGTGCGGCTCAACATGAAGCAGAAACGCTACGCGCGGGGCTCAGCTCTCCGTGGAAGGCTCCTCCGCAAGCAGGTGAGGTGTTGGCAGGCACTCCCTTCACCCCCACTGCCTCTTGCCATGTGACCCTCTTTTACGGCCCACAGATGTGGAAGCAGAAGTGGCAGAAGAAAGGGGAGCATTTTGGAGGTGGTCAGCCCACAGACACAGTCGAGAATTCTTGCTTCCGGTGTGGGCAGCTAGGCCACTGTCCATCCCAGTGCCCCCAGCCAGGTGAGGCCTCTGCTCTGGGTGGTGGGTTGGGCTGAGGTGTTCGGAGAGGACTTGTACTCTTGGGAGGAGTGCGGGGAGCACCTGTAGCTCAATTAAAAGACTCTACCTACGGCTCCTACCTGACTTAGAGCGTACCCTGGCCCCCCGGAAGAAAGGTGGTGAGGATGAAGATGACACACAGATGCTGCCCACTTTGGAGGAAGTAGTCCAGAGGACAGGCACTACTAGACTCCCTGGTGAATGAAGGGGTGGAGGGCAGGCTGTAGCTAGCTGTGTTTTTGCTAGAACGACCCCAGCCCAGCCTGGAGTTCCCACACCAGCCTTTTCTGTCTGTGCCCAGTGAGTGAGGAAGATCCAGATCGTGCTGGGTCTGAGCCGTTGGCCACCATGGAACAGCCTGTGCCCCAGGCGCCCTGCCTGCCCCCTGCTGTGCCACCACTTTACCCACCAGGGCCCTCTGGGCAAGTGGCAGGTGAACAGATGCTTTCCAGCTGAGAGCCTTTCCTGGGGGGTGGGGGCAACTTGAGGCCATGCTGGCCAACGCCTGTGTCCACAGAGACGCCGGCTGAGGTGTTCCAGGCCCTGGAGCAGCTAGGGCACCGTGCCTTCCGTCCTGGGCAGGAGCACGTGGTCATGCGGATCCTCTCTGGTGAGCTTGGCTGCTGGGCGATGAGGCAGGGCCAAGGCCTGGCCGCAGGATAGCACACTGACCCCTCTTCCCACCAGGCATATCTACACTGCTGGTGTTGCCCACTGGTGCTGGCAAGTCCTTGTGCTACCAGCTCCCTGCACTGCTTTATGCTCGGCGGAGCCCCTGCCTTACGCTGGTCATCTCTCCCCTCCTCTCTCTCATGGACGACCAGGTGCGCAGACAGGACCCCTCGGGCACATGCAGAAGGTAGAAGCCGGTGCCCATGGCTCTTCTGACCCTTTTGGGCTGCTGCCTGTTACCTGACCAGAGCTGTAAAAAGCTCAGCTGTTCTCAACCTGCTAGCTCCGTCCACAGCCCCAGGCCTGGAAATGCTCCAAGGGCACGGGACATGGCTGGCCAGACCTGGGTCCACCCCAAAGAGGAACAGCACTAGGAAAGGGAGATGTCCCCAGCGGGGCCTGTCTGCTCTTGGCACTCCTGAGCCAACGCTCACAGGGGGGTCTGAATCCTTTGTCACAGGATCTGTGAGCTGGACTTTTTCTCCCTAGGGGGCCCAAGTTGAAGATGGCAGCAGCTATCAGGCCGAGCACCACTGAGAGTCTGTTTGAGGAAGAGCTGAGGAAGGGTGGCTTGCAACTGGTTTTCCTTTGGTTTCCACAGGTGTCTGGCCTGCCCCCATGCCTGAAGGCAGCCTGCATCCATTCAGGCATGACCAAGAAGCAGCGGGACTCCACCCTGAAGAAGGTGAGGGAGGGGCCTTACATAGCAAGATGGGCAGGGACAGAAGGCAGGCCCTCGATGATGCTCCTGACCTTGCCATCCTCAGGTCCAAGCAGCCCAAGTGCATGTTCTGATGCTGTCACCCGAGGCGCTGGTTGGGGCCGGGGCAGGGACCTCTGGCTGCTTCCCTCAGCTGCCTCCAGTTGCCTTTGCCTGTGTTGATGAGGCCCACTGCCTATCCCAGTGGTCCCACAACTTCCGGCCCTGCTACCTTCGTGTCTGCAAGGTGAGCCTTCTCTGGGGTGCAAGCAAATGGGCCAGGGAGGGTGGGTGGGTGGGGCATTTTCATCGGCTTCTCTTCTGCACAGGTGCTGCGGGAACACATGGGCGTCCGCTGCTTTCTGGGTCTTACAGCCACAGCTACACGCAGCACCTCAAGAGACGTGGCCCGGCATCTAGGCATGGCTGAGGAGCTTATCGTCAGAGGGCCAGTCACCATCCCCGCCAACCTGTACCTGTCTGTGTCCACGGACAAGGACCCAGACCAGGTGGGTGGATACACCCAGGCCCGGCAGAGGCATTGCCTTCTGACAGTCCATGCTGACAGCTGTCACCCACCAGGCTCTGGTCACACTGCTGCAGAGTGATCGTTTTCGTGACCTGAACTCTGTCATCATCTACTGCAACAGACGTGAAGACACGGAGCGCGTTGCTGTGCTGCTCCGCACCTGCCTGCGTGAGGCCTGGGACCCGGGGCCTAGAGGGGAGGTCAGCAGGGCTGTGCCCCAAGGACCTGCCCCAGAAACGTGTTCCACCCACTGTCTGTCTCCCTGCAGGCCAGGTCCCCGGAACTGTGGCTGAAGCCTACCATGCCGGCATGTGTGGCCGGGAGCGGCGGCGGGTGCAGAGGGCCTTCATGGAGGGCCGGCTGCGGGTGGTAGTGGCCACAGTGGCCTTCGGGATGGGGCTGGACCGGCCAGACGTGCGGGCCGTGCTGCACCTGGGGATGCCCCCGAGCTTTGAGAGCTATGTGCAGGCTGTGGGCCGGGCTGGACGGGACGGCCAGCCCGCCCACTGCCACCTCTTCCTACAGCCCCAGGTTCTTACCTGCCCCACTTGAGCCCACCCCACCCCACCCCACCCCACCCCACCGCCCCACGTTCACAGCTGTTCTGTTGCAGGGTCAGGACCTGCAGGAGTTACGTAGACATGTGTATGCCGAAGGCACCGACTTCCTCGCTGTGAAGAAGCTGGTACAGTGCTCCTTCCCACCCTGCACCTGCACCCGCGCCCGCGCCCAACGGCCCCCAGAGCAGGAGGGAGCCAAGAGCCAAGAGAGGCCTGTGGCAGTGTCCCCAAGGGAGGCTGAGCAACCCAGCAGCAAACGCACAGCCCAGTGCCTGGGTCATG